GAAAAACTAAGGGAAAATGATCATCGAAACTTTGAACACGGAGGTTTTGCAAACTGGCAATGTACTGGTTACAAGTGGTGGAGATAAAAATTTCAAGTTCGAAAGAAAGTCCACCAATTTCTCTATTCCTATTATATGCTTGAAAAAAAAACTTTTCTCTTGCATTTTATCCATTTATAGGCATCATTAATAATTTTCTCTTAATATTTACCCTTATTTAATAAGTTATGTCGCTTCTTTCTTTTATTTTCCTACGAATAGTGTGCAGGTTTGAGTGTCGGTGTGAATGCTGATGTTCTCTAAATTCATACTCAGATCCACATTCACAATTCTGTATGTCAAAAGGAGATGAAAAATTTTGTTTGAACTTGCATTTCACAATAATTAGCTATGATAGAGTTCAGATGTTAATCTTCTGAGCTGTTACACATCTTGCTGGGAAAAGAGATTGCTACTCATAAGGCATCGAGGAAGATTCGATAACATCACGAATAAGAAAAAAGACTGTATCCGTATTGCAGTCCCCTTATGTTCATTCATCCTTGTCCAACCAGTAAATGGATTTCATCATAAGTTAAGCTTTCTGAAGCTTCAAAGTGTTGTACAGAACTTTAAAAAAATCGCTTATTATGAGTTTGAAAAAGAATCTAACCGATGTATCTTCTTAGTGTGGAGGAGTGGAACAAAGGTTCGAAGTTCTTATTCTGATCATTCCAGAACGAGAGTTCGTCTGCAATAATATTTTCGTTTTGATCAATCTAGAATTTGCTTGATAGCCCAAAACAAAGAGTCACGTCCTCTTTTACCAAGACCTGAGACATCTCAGAAAATAAATAGCTGAACTTCATTAGAGCCGATGATTGCAAATCGCGAATTCGAAAAAACCTTCATCTCATTTTTCTATGTGAAGGTATGAGTATGGATGCCGACGTTAGAAAAGATAAAACCAACACCCACATCACAACTCTTTTTTGGAAATACTCCATTCATTCGTGAAGTTGAAACTGAATGCTGCAGATCCTAAGTTTATTCTTTAACAAGGACACTTTGTGCACCCTTTTAAAATGCGATAGGAACATTGGTTAATGTAAATACTTTTTCTTTGCTTTCTTTCGCGTAAAAATCGATACGTTTGCAGAAGAGACAATTTAATTGTTGCTTTTATTTGTGATGAAAAGAGATCGATATGACAATGTAGAATTGGTAGTTTGTTGACCCTCAGCACTAGATTTTTTCAATCTGATAACATAAAGTCAATACTCAGATAAAGTGGCATCGAATTAACAAATTTTGATAAGGATACCACAATAGTTCTGAAGGTATGGGTGTAGATCGGTGTGTGCATAGAAAGTAGAACATTCCAAGACAAACGAGCTTATTTTAGTTTTGTCAGAATGTCATCAAGTGGATTCTCAAAATATATTATATCATATATATAAATAATTTTTATAGAAGACTATACAATACATTTGACGGTGTAGGTGTATTTGAAATGAAAAAGCTTGTTTGCGCAGCCACTTTGGGACTAAAGTGTGGAGCTCACATATTTTCTATAGTCTCACCAGAATAATACAAAGTATGTGAAGTGAAAAAAGTAAGTTCCTCTCTTATTTATTTCTCCATTTCGGACAGAATTTTCTTTTACAGGCATCTTACTTTCTGTTTGTATCTTTGCTATTCGCTCGTTATTTTTCTTAATTTAAGATTGTTGTCATTATAAGCATTGAATTAAATGGACAATAAGACTGTGGTAAATATCCATTCTATCTACAGCAGCAGATCTTAAAGCATTATTATATATCTCGATCAAGTCACAAAAAGTTGACATGGATTATTTTCTTAAATTATAACTTGATCAATTCATCATTTGTACATTGATGAAATGACAACTGTGGTAAATCAATACCTCACTCCTCATTGTTGTTAATATTTTGAATATGAATTTTTATCTGCATAAAAAATCAAAAACTGCACTGTTTAAGACATTCATACACGTGTTCAAATCATTCGAATTTTAACGAAAACTTTAAAATATTTTAGACATCTGGGAAAAAAATCTGATGCTGATTATTCTCGAATACTGAAATCTAAAATAGGAAGCAGATATGTGAGGGGAGGATGAACGGCTAAACCTCGACTTACAACTTACACTTATTATTTTTCTTCGAAAATATATATGAATTTCACAAAAGTGTGTGACGAAGACAATCGCAATGTGCTATTTAAACACATTCAAAGCCATAGCATTGTACCAAGTGTAGTTCTTTGTTTCAGAATATTCATCGAGCACTGTAGAGAACGTACGAAAAAAATCTTTCGCGAGTCTCAATGGTTAATTATGACGTTTCACTTTGAAATTGATGCGTTGCCCTTTGCTACTTGTGTACATCTCAATAATAGACTTGGAAGAAATAATAATTACTCACTCACTGCAGTTATGATGCTTATTGTTAACTTGCGACATGCAATAATGCAGTGCTTGTTCTGTGTGTTTTCGTTTTGAGATTATATAATCATTACTTGATAACAGATATTTTGCTAGTTTCCTATGATCTTCTCATATCACATGCCTTATCCTCCACATAAAAATAGTTTACATTTATGAAAGAGCAAACAAGGTAGTGCAGAAGAACGCTGCCAAATAACCTTTCGTGCAAGTTTCCTCTTCCATTGAAAGTAATTACTTATCCGAATCTTGAATTCCTGATTGAATTATTAATAAGATTTAATCAGTTCGTTCCACGAATTTGACCAGACATTCTCTTGTGTTTGGTTGAAAACTCTATTTAAACTTGAAGCAAATGCAAGCAAACATCTTTTCACTTTTGGTCTAATAATTTTGCACAAAATCACGTATACTAATATTAATCCATTGATACTGAAACTCGTTAAAACTCATCCACTCTTAATAATTTTCTCATACTGTATTTTGTTAGCAGAACAAAATATACAAAAGTCATTGCATGCATACAAGTGTGTGTGTGTGTGAAGCTTTGGAAAGTGAAGATGTTGTGACATGTCATCATTGTTTTTCAGGTAAGTTCTGCAATTCTGCTAAACACTCCTTCTTAATTATGCCATGTTGTGCATACAATTTACCGAAAGTACGAAGCAACAATAAGTGTGCTAAACTTGTCTGTCCTATGAAGCATAAAAAAGACTTATGTTTGTCTTCTTAGAAAAATATGCATATGATTCGATGAACATATATTCAAATGGTTTATTATAATCTTGAATTTATGTATCTCAATCATCGGTTGAATAAAAACAGCGCCTACAGCTAAAAATAAAGGAAGTGCTCGTACACGTCTTTAATCGCTTATCAACGTCATCATAAAACACATAATACATACTGACCCATTTTTTATTTTCTATTCAATGCTCATTCAAAAGTATTTTTGCTTCGTTTGCTGTTAGATGCAAAAACGAGATTTCAGTCTCTGAAATTTCTAATCTGACTAATTTAGTTACAAACCACTGAGTTCCATATCTATAGTTTCGGACTATTGTTATAGGTCAGTGTATTGTCTTATTCATAATCTTACTGCAGCTAATCAACAGAAAGTAACAATAAATCATCTGACACTGACATGACAAAATCGAACTTATCAATTGGTAATCTCGTCTACTTTATGGAAGTTACTTATGTAGCTTCAGAAAAAGGATAAATTCTACTAAAAAAAAAACTTTTACTCTTGTATTTTGTCTTAAAACTGCTTTCATTCTTAATTAAAATCGAAAATCGTCAAAATCCAAACAATAAAAAAGATAGTATTAACGCTTAATAAAGGTAGTTGACGCAGACTATCGATAATCTTTTCATAGAGAAAAAACACAAAATACGATATCTAAGATATTTATAGATTATATCAAAACATTCTAAGAAAATAGAAAAGAAACATAATTTATCACACTATAAATTTGTGAATATTCCGATAAATATTTTTCGCAATGAACTGCGCGCAGAAAACATTTTCATTAGTTACTATATACTTAATTTCATTAGTTTTCCTAATTTTATTTTTTTTTGCAATAACAAAATTTATTGTCTTTTGATAAATTCCCATAATTGGATTAACAATAGCTGAACAAACATCGTAAAAGGTAATTGTTTATTCTATTTCCCAAAATAATACCAACAAATAGACTATTAACCTAAAATTAATGGGAAATTTATGCTTAACTGACAATAAATAAACATTTTATCTTTTAAAAGACATTTTCATTTAAAATCATATTGGAATTCTATAAACAACAATAATTCATTTACTTGCAATGTCACAATGAAAAAAAGTCTATTTCTATGAGCGTTAGGTTTTCTTTCCTTTCGATCAAAGTGACCTCATTGAATTCAAATAATCAACTTAATTTACTTATGACATGTCTCAACAATATTGTCAAAATTGACCCTATTGTGGTGTGTTAAACATACCGAATAAATAAATATTCTAAGTTATAAGGATAAAATATCGATGCATTTTTGTCTCCTGTTTTCGAATGATGTATTATAAAGCGATTCTTTCACTTATTTCGATATCCATCATAGATTGTATGTGTTAGCATCCACGACCAGTCTAGAATTGACTAACATATTACATTAAAGCAAAAGTTAACCATGATACATGAAATTTTATTTTCAACAAAATATTATATCTAATATCATAAATAAATAGCACAACAAAACATCAATGAAGGATGTAGATGTGAATGTACTTGTTCTTTCTACTTGACTGTCACATCTAAATTCGAGATTTAAATTAACTTTTTTTACTTTTCTGAAATTTGTTTTGGCCCGAGCGATGATGCAATTTTATTCACTATATAAACATCTTCTTTTTATTAAGCAACAAAAAGTATCAGAAACAATTCATAAAATGAAGAAATCAATGATCTTGGTAATGTTTATATGTTTAATACAAATTGAATGGACTATTGCTTTGATAACGAATTCAGGTGATTAATAATAATTTGTATTTACCTATCTAATATTTTTGGTTTATATGATAGTTTTTCGAAATAATTCATTAACGAATTGTTCTCAATATACAGATGATTATGAAGTTCTTGTATCATTTCCATTTCATGTTGCTCTTAATCCATTATCACAAATATTCAAAAATACAAATGGTTTAATGGATGCTAATGAACATATATATTATCTAAATATTATTAATCAAAAATATGTTCCATTGACAGTTTATTGTTTGAAATATTTACAAAAATTATATATTCGAAAGACGAGTTTTTATAATACTGATTATCAACTTCCAATTGAGATTATTCATCTTGCATCAACGCTCACTACTTTAGGTATTTATGATACTAGAATTACTCATTTACCAGAACAAATCAGTAAATTAAAGCATTTACAATCATTAGAATTGGTTAATACTAATTTAATAGCTCTTCCGAATGGTATTGGTAATTTATCTTCATTAACTTTGCTCTATTTACCTAATAATAAACTAACTTCATTACCTAAAACTATCAAAAATATTCGATTATTATCACAAATTGTATTAAAAAATAATCCATATCTTCGTTCAATACAATCAATAAATGGTTTGTCAAATCTTCGAGTTTTACAAACAGATAATTGTCCAATTGAACGTCTTCCACTTCATTTACCACAATTAACTGATTTACATATGTCTAAAAATAATCTTTCACATCTAATTGGTATTCGAACATTAGGATATAAAACAAATAATAGTAAATATTTTTATTTTACTAATAACCGTATTCAATCAATTCCACCTCAAATTAAACATGTTAATAATCTTTATTTTCTCAATCTTGATTACAATCATTTAATTAGTTTACCTTTAGATATATTCAGCATAACTACACTTCATTATTTATATATTCGAAATAATGATTTTAGTGTTACTGAATTAAAAGCAATTGTTGATAAATTTAATGCTACACATCCATATATGAATCTATATTATTTAAATAAAAAAAACTTCAATAGTAAAAAACATGATTAATTGAAGTGCCTCATTCATATATCTATATATAGTTGCTCCCGATATGTTTTTTTTTAAATAAAATTTTTTTTTCTGTCGAAAAAGTACTGCAGACTTTTGAATATCGAAATGTAAAATACATTCATTTAACAAGGAAATATTTAATAACTATTTCAAATTCAAGTAAAAGAATTCAACTAATTCTCTCTCCCAGAATAAAAAATCGTGACCTTCTGTTATGGAAATTTACATCGCTCTTTCAATTGCAGCTTTCTCTTACGGGCGAGCTCTTTGTTTATATTTATTATTATTACAGATATATTGTACTTTTATGGATTTTTTTTTCTTCTAAATAAATGCCGTAGTCTTCATCAGAAACACTAAAAAGCTAATTTGCAAATTTCAACTTGAAAGTTTATATAGAGACAGGCCTTAATGAAAATAGTTTTTTTTTTTGCAAATGTTTCAGATCTTGTCGTTATTCCTATACAAAGATATAAATATGATAATAGCGTGTCTTCTGCATCATTGAAATAAACCAGCAGATGTTCTGTTTTTATTTCAGGATAGAAGCAAAATTAAACGATTGAAAGCTTTCAAGATAAACTACTCTTGTTAAGACCTATTTTCCATGCAAAGTTTCATGTTGAAATTTTGAAAATAAGTTTTCTAATATTCCTGAGGATAACCTTGACATTCATTTGAAAAATATCGTATATTCATAGCAACAAACTAAGGACACGAACATTTTTTCAGGGTATTCTCATAACTCATTCGGGTCTTCATAATGCAAATAATGTCGACTTATAAGCGAATGGAACAGTTGAAGGACTTTCCTCATAAGATGATTATTTTATACTTGATGAGTCATCCATCGCATCAATACATAATGCAGTTGTATGTGGAGAGTCTTGTTTAACAGCTAAAAATAGCATTGTCAATGTTGTGGTTTTTTATCGTATCACATAAGAATCAAAGGTTGCATAGAATATTTGTTTTATTTTTATCTAAATGATGTTAGTGTATTTGATTGAAAATGTATCGATGTATTTCGATAATGACACTTAAGTCATATGAGTGCTTTTAGAATTGATTATGATGATGGCTGTTATAAAACACTTCAAAGATTATTCAAAAATATTAGTCTTCATTTCAATTTGTTGATTATCATTCTGAAATTTTCGAGAATAATTAAAAGAATATTAATTTTCTCATATTAGAGACATTCATTATAGATAAAACTAACATGAATGGATCTTTCGTAGTAGTTCAATGTAAATAAATGCTTCATATTTTGATCAGCTGATTTTAAAAAATTTGATATGATGATGTAACTGTTTCGTTTCTGTTACTACATTTCACTCACATTTGTTTCTTATACGATGTATCAGCATATATCATTTTTCGGTAATTTGAGATGACGAGACTCTGTTGCTCATTAGAAAGAAAAATCATTTTGTTCGATCAATTTCATTCATTTAATTAATCCTGAATTAGACAAGGAAACAAAAAAAGAAAACATACTTCTAAAAACCATTCATTTCATTTTATTTCTATAATATACATTAAAATGATAACTGGCCCAGCAATAACGATAACGACTCTAAATGAAACATCACCAGCAACTAAACGAACTTTATTTCGTATAGCATTATGTGTTGCTATGTTTGGTTCAGTTGCTGTTAGTACAATATTATTTTTACAAGGTGGATTAGTTCTTGGTCGTCTTCCATATTTTATTGATATTGGTCAACATTCACTTTATATTACATCAATACTTTTACTTATTTTTAGTCTTCTTTCAATATTAACATTTATTATTTTAGCCATTGGCTTAATTAAAGTAAAAAGAAATTTTGCTATTATAGCTGCTGGTTTATTAATTATATGTTCATTGGGTCTTATTACATTTAGTATTTGGTCATTTATTACACTCTCGAGTGAACAATTACCAAAATCAATTAATGATACATTAATTCACGAATTAGATCAAACACAATTTAATGTTATTAGTGGAAATAATATTACTGTTATTAATACATTTAAAATGTCCCGATTAGAAAAACAACATCAATGTTGTGGTTTTACTGATCCAATTGAAGATTATCAGAGTCGACAACCTTCTACATATCGATCAGCATCATTGAGTAGTGGAAATACTAAAGGACGAATAACATCAATTCAAAGAAATCCATCAACATCTACATCATCTTTACTATTACCAATAAGTTGTTGTAATGAAAAATATCGTTCAAGTGACAATAATTTATGTATTGATACTTATGGAAATAATACAAATCTATTAAATCGTTATAATACCGAAGGATGTTCTACTGTTATTATTCGAGCAAAATTTAAACATATTCAACAACAAGGTTTTATAACTATTGTAGCTTCTGCTTTATCTGTGATTAGTTGTATTGCATTAGCTGCTGTTATAAGATTATTAACAGAAGCCTCTCAAGTTGTACCATTACTAATAGCAGCATAAGAATTTATATTATTTAATGGACAGAACATTTTTTTTTATCGTTTTCTTTTTCATAATAATACTAAAATAAAAATCAATTTAAAAAAAATTCATTTCAAGATCAACATATTCCATTGCTTTTGATTGTTCAATAAATGAATGTAAACGTTTTTCAGTAACAGGTTGATAGAAATTATCAGAATTATCTTGCATATAAACACTAATAATAAAATAATTTAGAAGATTAAATTAACAAATAGGAGATCTCATCATACCGATAAAATGTCATTGAAGGTTGATCAATTGATGACCAACGTTCGATCACACGTTGATCAATATTTTCTATTTGATTAAATGGTATTTTACTAAAATATAATTGTTCGAAGGATTCAATTGAACTAGAATCTGATTGACGATCATTATTCGGATCTATATAAGAATAGAAAAAGAAACAAAAAAAAAATGTTTCTATGAATTTTGCTTTACAATAATATGAACAAAATCTTCACTTTTTCTTTTACAGCAACAAAAGAAAATTAATAATATAATTAACATTAAACCTGCAACACCAAAACCAATTGTCAATATCGATGAAATACTAAAATCTAATAATATATAATTATATATATATATATATTAAGAAGAAAAAACAATAATCGAAATTGATTTTATCTACCATGTGTAATAGATGATTGATCCATCTCTTAACGAAATGTAATTTCCTACTATTGATTTCACTTTTCTTTTCCATTTATTTCATATTAAGCTTTTATCTTTAATCTAATCGTGTTATGTGGTTTTTTCTTTCATCTTTTTTTTTTCCTATTCTATATCTATTCATGTTCTTACCTTTGTCTTATTATAGAACAAACATATATTTATTAATCTTTTGTGACTACGGTCAATTTGATCATCGAGTATTTATAAAATGTCAATGTGAAGGAAATGGAATTTTTTCTTTTTGTCGTGAAAAAAAAAATGAATTCGAGTCCGTAATTACAATTGAGCATTTCATATATATGAATTGCAATCTCTCAAGAGAGATAAAGAAACGGAACTTTTAGTCGATGGAAAAAACGACATATTCGCATGAAAATAAGATCAAAACGAATCATTCAACTCGAGAGCTATTATAGTCGTCTTTATTAAAGAAATGTTGATAGACCAAAAGACAAATGGTTCGTCTTGAAAGAAAAAAAATCATAAAAACAATACGCATATGCCCGATGACAATACAAAAACAGTAGTGAAGAAGCTGACTGACATCATCGCTCATCTACATTCTGTTTTCGTCGTTCTGTGTTGATGATTTTGTAGCAATGTAATACTAGTTTTTAGCTTGTGAATACTTCTTGCGGTGCATGAATGAATGCTAGTGCTTACACTCTGGCGAGAACACTTATAAATTCCCGGAAACCGAGATGAAAAGAAAAAAAAACGAGCGAGAAAAAAAAACTAGAAATAGCTTCTTTCCTTTTTTTAGTTGAACGTTTTTTCTTCCTTCTTGTTACATCGTGTGATGAAAATGATTGATAATATCTTCTTTTTCTTTTTTATGCCTCACAGGCATCAGCACTTATTATAAGATGAGCTAAATTACTGATACTTTTTTTAGATAAATCAAAAAAAAACGTCGAATGTGTGATCGACCTATACAAATAGCAGTTATAGGTGATAAAGCTGTTGGGAAAACATCTATTGTTCGTCAATGGTTATACAATGATTATGCTTCATCATATTCAACAACTCGTTTAGCTACATATCATTTTACATCATTATTTAATGGTCAACGTTTATTTCATATACGTATAATTGATACTCCACGTTTCGATGATACAAATAATACAGATCCTCAACAAGAATGGGTACGAATGTATTGTTTTCGTCGTGCACATTTATTTTTATTAGTATTTGATATAAATCGTGAAGAAACATTTAGTTATATAAAAAATATTTATCGTGAAATAGTTCGTATTCGTTTTAATAATAATAATAATTTTTATTCTCAACAACAAACAGAAAATTTAGCTGATATTATTAATGGTGATGATGAACAATCTACAAGTCATTTACCTGTTATTGTTGTTGCAAATAAAGTTGATTTTATTTCAACTGATTTACGTTTTGCAAATATAACAATAACTAATTCACGTGATATACAACAATATGTTAAGAAAAATTTTAAAGCTAATACTATATTATGTTCAGCAAAATATCATTGGCATTTAGTTTTATTATTTAAAGAAGTTTGTCGTATGTTGGAGACAGTTGAAGATACTGTTGCTAAACAAGCCGCACAACAAGCTAGACGTAGACTTCAACAACATGGCAAACATTGCCATGTCATGTAGTTATTTTTCTTTTTCTTTTTTTTTTAATCTCAGAATATAAATTTCTATTTGATATATATATATATATGCACGCCTTATAATTTGTCATGGCTTCTAAATAAACTGAGATACGAGGCACTCAGACGGTATCAATAATATTAACATGAAAAAAAAAGATTAATAATCATAGTACAAATTTCATATGTAAATGTTAATATGACTTTGGTGACAAGCGAAATAGATGAAAATAGGGAACAAACTGACGTTGATTTTTGTTGACATGTTCGTTCTTGTTTAAAGAATAAAAAACGCAATAAAGGTTCTTTAGTTTGCTTTGACACGTACACAAACGTTCTTTATTGTTCTTTTTACATAGAAAAAATGTATCTTATGTCTGTGAATTCGGCCCGAAATACTTCATATAATTTAAAAGTAAAAAGAACGAAACAAAATTTGTCAGAAATATCCAGACTATGATTAATAATGTTATTTTTTAACATATTTCAGTACCATCTTTGTTGAAAAAAGAAATGAATTAAAATGATCATATATTAAATAAATGAAGCTTATCTATATATAACTCACTAATGATCTACTCAAGAATAGATGAGAAGTATGCATGAAAAAAAAAACTAATTATTTATATTTGATTGCACTTTGGTCAAGTCCCGGGAACAACAAAAAGTTAATTATGACTCATATACATATAAAATATTGAATCATAACATGACGAAATTTCTTTCTCCATACATCATTGTATATGACACACGCAAGCTTGTATGACATTAACGGAAGTAACCATGAATTGATTTAAATGGATTTTTCCCCCTTCATAAATGTTTTCTTTTCGTCTATTCATTGGACAAATACCTGTGGGGCAGAAAGCGGAGGACAGATAAAAAGTGCGCTGTATGCATTTTTTTCTACAAAACATTTGAGGTTACACAATATAACCTTTTTTGTTTTTGCACTTAAACAGAGAAAAAAAATGCTTTTTTTTAGACGAGACGATATTGACAAATACTTACTCATTCGACATTTTATTGTGAAATTTTCAAGTTACTTATACAGTGTCAATTGAGGAACGTATCAGTATAGAAATTCTCATATATAAATATAAAGGTTCTTGGTATTAAGTATCTTTCAAATCAAAAGAAAATTCGAACGACTAAGTATTTCATACAGATTTAATTTTACAAGAAAATAAACAACTGTCAATGATTGTAACATTGCTTTTAATAATAATTATATTGGTACTTTATTTGGTGCATATCTATCGGTGCTATTCATTCTTTAAATGTCAAGGTATTGATGGACCACGTCCAACATTTTTCTTGGGCAATGTAGAAGATTTTGCTCGTACAAAACGTATATCAATATCAATTCAAAATTGGACAAAAAAATATGGTCGTATTTATGGTTATTTTGAAGGTCATACACCAGTTCTAGTGATATCAGAACCAGACATATTAGATAAAATATTTCGAAGATGTTTTTCAAAGTTTCATTCACGTCGACAATTTCCATTAGAAGAACGTTCAACAACGAAAGGTGTTCATTTATTTAGTGCTACTGGTAATGAATGGCGTCGACAAAGACGCATAATAAATCCAACATTTTCACGAGTTAAAATACAACGAATGTTACCCATAATTAATGATTGTATTACAAATTTAATGACCAAATTAGAAGAATCCATTAAAACAGAACCAGCAGGTTTTGATATTTATAAATTATATAAATCTTTAACAATGGAACTTATATGGAGATGTTGTTTTGGTATTAAAACAGATATGCAAAATGATCCCAATAATCCGTATTTAATACGTTCACAACAAGTATTTGCTAGAGAAAATAGTACTTATTTAACAACATTATTAGGAATATTTATACCTGAATTACAACCATGTTGGTTATTTATTCATTGTTGGTTTAATAATATAAAAGCTAAATTACGTGAATATTTACCCATGGGTGATAAATTAATTGCTGATGATCCAAGTGAATGGCTTAAAGAAAATGTTCAATATTTCATTGACAATAGATTACAAAATTCTAATGGAACTGATTTATTACATTTAATGCTTGATGCAACAGAAAGAAATATAAATAATACTAATCAAGTGAGTTTTATTGATATGAAAATTAATATTGATTATAATTTCATTTTTCTTTTTTGTTCGTAGGAAAATTTCAACACACACTTATTAACATTAAATGAAGTGAAACAAAATATTTATTTATTCATGATTGCTGGTTATGAAACTGCTAGTACAGCACTTGCATATGTTACTCATATTTTAGCTACACATCCTGAAGAACAAAAAAAATTACAAGACTATATTGATTCTTATGTATCAAGTGATACTATTCTTGATTATGATGCTTTAAATAAAATGCAATATCTCGATTGGTTTATTCGTGAAACATTGCGTATGTATCCAATAACACCAATTATTATCAATCGACAATGTTCAGAAAAAATTGATATTCCTGGATTAGGTTCTATTGCACCGGGTACTAAATTTACACTTGATATGTATAGTTTACATTATGATAATGAATTATGGGGACCAGTAGATACAAAGATATTTTATCCGGAAAGATTTGCAACCGAACGACATCCATTAGCATGGGTTGCCTTTGGTGCTGGACCACGCAATTGTGTAGGAATGAAATTTGCACTTTCTGAAATTAAAATTGCAATAATACGTCTTTTACAAAAGTATACAATAGTACCCTCAACTTTGGCAAATGAAGATTTAGAACTTGTCGAACTTGTTACGATTGCACCAAAACAATTAAAAGTTCGATTGGAACCACGAACTCAGATAATATAAATAAAACTCAATTCTTTCATTAATTTTTGTACACAGTCAAAATCTCATCGTCAATCTTATTGACACTAATTTTAAAAGAGAAAATGGTCTGAACAAAAAAAAATTGTTTTTTTCATACTTGAAATTTTATTATTATTATTATTATTATATGTTTTTCATCAAATAAAAAACATGAAACTATAAAAAAAATCATTGAATATTAATATAATCCTAGCTTTCAATAAAGAAAGATCTTGTTTCTTTCGATTTTTCAAAACAATGTTTACTCATCTTTTGCAGCATAAAATTGGTAAAAACTTGTGAACAGCATCAAACTGTATGCCAAATTAATCTTGCTTATTGTAAAAGAAAAATTTTCTTATCTCATATAGGAAATAAATCTATATGAATATACAGATACCATCACGTACTTTGTTTAACACTTAACTGAATATAATCTCAAGAGAGAACTAAAACGGCACGAACATGAAGAAAAAACAAACACATAAAAATATGCATATGATCACGCATTTTTGCTCATTAAATCCTATTTGAAACTCATTAGTATTATTAATTATATATTTTAGATATTAATTCAATGTCGTATGTTTTAATAGAAGAAACTAAAGTAGATCAACAATATATTGTAAAAAAAGCAAACATAATGCATAGAACTTTGTCATTGACAAAGGCAATATTTCCGTACTGAGGAAGATATTTATTCTGATTTTATAATACTTTCGCAAGCAAAATTCAATGTATCTTCTTCAACATTCATTGATTCAATCATGTTTATGGCTATGATCTAAAAAGACAACAAGAGCTCTAAATAATTTTTCGATGTAGAAAAATGTTTGTATATAAAAACTGTTATGGTAGCATGTAGAGAAGCTAATTATTAAGGGGGAGCCCCCCCTCTCACAAACAAACTTTTTTATTTTTTCATGGAATTCAACCAAAATTTCAGAGAATGTTAATCTTGGCTAGAGTAGATTATGGTTAAAATATCTCCTCAAGTCTCCGAAATATTCACGAGTTCTAGTCAATTTATTGGTCAAAAGTACCCTGTCTGCGGGCAAGGCTTTCACAATCAGAATACAAACGAACATGCCGAGGGGGTTTTTAAGTTGTAGAATACTGTTAGCGCTAGACCCTCACGGAGTCCAATTTTTGAAATTCGTTTTTTTTTTTTTTAAAGTATCCTTTCCGAAAAATTCTCGAATTCATGACCAAAAAAATCGCTGATAAAAATGAAATATGCAAGTTTCTTATTTCGCCAATAGAGAAATTTAAAAATCGGGTTCTGTGACGATTTGAGTCTTTATTGAGTAAGGTTTGCCCGCGCAAATAGTATATTCGAAAAAACAGATTTTAAGAAAAACGGGAAATAAACTTTTAAAAACCCTATTTTTTCAATATGAAGGTTGAGAAAAACTTATGCAATATCCTTAAAACTCATCATAAAATCAATCAACTATAGTGCATTCGAGAGTAGACATTTTGTTCCATCTAACGAGCTATAAATCACAAAATTAATAAATTCGACAATAATTCACTTTGTCCAAAGGGGGAGGAGGGCCTTAATTTGCATGTATACTATTGATTATATTCAATATTCACTATTATCTTACGTGATGAGTATATTTCATTATAAATTTTACATATATCTATATATTGCATAAATTAATTGAATTTTTTTCAAAAAAGTATTTTCTTGGAATTCATCAAATACAACAGCATAGAATTATTGTAATATTGATGTCAACAGTTGACAGCGTGCTCTAGAAAATCATTTTTTATTGGAATAATATTTTGACCAATAACATTCTATGACGGTGTTATGCATACGTATTCTATAAGGGTTATATTGATCATTGTAAGAACCCGGGTAGCCTACTTTTTCTCTACTTAACATATGATTTTGATTATGTAGATATTTTTCGAAGAAAAAAGAAAACAACCGATGAGCAATATCGAGGGAATTCCCATTTGTCACCATGGTGTTAATTATTCAAAAGATATGACATTGCATTATGGGGAAACACCAGGGGATAATATCTACTCAATAACACCAGGCGGTAAGATTTTACTGTTATTTAAATTATAGAAAATAGAATTTCACTTAATTAGGAACTCGTATTTATTATGATCGAACATTTCTTTTATCTCGTCGTGAATCACCTTTGACACGATCACCACCCTTGAATTTACCATATATTCCAGAAGGTTTGTAAATTTATTTTTGCATTAAATTTTATAACAAAGTCCCATGAGAAAATTTGTTGATGATTGAAATATGCCAACTGTTTTTTTTCCTCACTGTCATACAACTTCGAATGGAAAATATTCTAATGCTTTTATAACACTTAAATATGTTTTTTTTTATTGTTTAGTTATGTGTGACATTTCACACTTTTAAGCCTTATTCGTTCTTACACTTTTTTCTTTCTTTCTTTTACCGTAGTCATGTTTTTTTTGTGTTCGTGTATGAATTTTCAATTTCAATGTGTTTAGTTTGAAACAGTAGTAATTTTTGATATTGAAAGAAAGATCGATTTACATATAAGAAAAGAAAATCCTTGATGATTTTATGCAGATTCGTATACAGATCAAACAATATAAATGTATATGAATTTCAATGAATAAATTTACACATGTATAGATGATGTTCATTCAAGTCATAAATGAAAAATAATAATCAGTTTATTAACAATAGATTCAAAAATATATGATTAAAATTGTACAAAAGTCATATTTGATAATCATAAAAAAGTACCATTTTTTGAATTATTATTATTTATTGAAAGTATGTACAGAAGACCTATGCAATAAAATGAATAGTAATAAATCATAATTCTATCATTATTATTTAAATATAGAATTCTAATCAAATATTTTAATGAACAAAAAAACTGTTTCATGATCAACCGAAATCCTAACAAATGAATAATAGTTCTTTGTTCAGAATAATTTTATACGAATCTAATTATGAAATACTTCATTTTTATATGTATCGAAATCAGAATTATGATCAACACGTTCAATACTATTTGGTCTATTCCTACACGTAAAGATTACATTGAAATTGTTTTTATCAGTGTACAATCTTTGTTTTTTTAATTATCAAAATCGTTCTTATATTAAGAGTTTCCTATGATAACGAAACGACCTTTCTTATTGATATATTTATCTAAGATAACGTGTTCTTATGTTTCTCATTCTCTGCTATCTATTATGTATCTATTCTACACTATTCAAGGATAGTATAGATATAGTAATTTAGTGATTTTACAGTAGAATAGATGTTATTTTTCTTATTTATTTAGTTACTTTGATTCCTGAACCGTCTAAAAATTGTACTATTGTTGCAAATGGTTTTAATAAAAATGATACTTTTGAAGCAATGATTAATTTAAATACGAATTTACCTGAACAAAAACGATCTACATTGGATAGAAAAGGTAAAAAAAATACAGTATACTCTTGTTTAATATACATATAGAAATATATATTTAGGTGACGACCAATTTTCAATGGATATGTGATCTCTTTCGTTTGAAATTATTCTTCTATGAACTCATTTTATTCCAAATAATGCTCTCGTTTTTTTTCTCAGTTTGGTGTCTTTATTTTCACTTTTGAATGTTATTAGAATTATTTTTTGTTTGTCTTACGACTAATATTATTATTGTATACTCGTGGTACTCAAATATATATGCATATATCATTTGTATAACAAATAAAATTATAAGAAAAAACTGTTTATTATTTTTTTCTCATGAAAATCATTAGATTAATGTTAATTTTTTCTTCTAGTTTAAAAATGAAAATGAACTCCGAAAAAGAAGACAAAATGAATATTTTAAATAATATTGATAATCAATTTAAAGAATTAATTGAATTGATTGAAAAAGAAAAAGATTCATCGTTTTCAATGAAATGTTTTGATCGATTAAAGAAAAAGAAAAAAAATTCGAAAAAAAAATGGTTTATTATTAGTTTTCTTATATTAACACTGATATCTATGTATTTTATTTTATCACATGAAGAATTATCTTATAATATCTATTTTGTATTCTTGTCATTTATTCGATTAATACTTATTAAAGTAAGAAAGAAAAAAACAATATATTTATTAGAATAATTAAATAATAAATTTATTTTCAAGATTCTTCCATTTTGGGATTGGACGAAGATTTATACACATCTATGTTTTATTGCCAATCCATTTTTTAATCAATCATTGGACTTATCAGAATGCAATGTAATAAATGCATGAGAAATTTTTTTCTGATTTATAATCTAAACCAAAGAAAGTATTAATTAAAGGTTATCTTACAATTTTCTCTATGAGAAATGAGAGTATTCATCGGATAGTTTGCTGCGAGACACAAGATCAAAAGATTAAAAAAATAAGTCTAGACACTGCTTTGGAAAAATATTCGCTTCTAATAATTGTAAAATGTAAAATATTCTTTGCACACTCACCGGTTATGTAACTAGCCATCGTCGATGTTCCTTTGTGTAAATTTTGTGAGCATGAGTTCGGTTTTATTGACAACAATAAATTTATAAAGGTAGAAAGAGAATGTAGGGAGAATAGAAGAGCACAAGAGCTTCAAGAACAGCATATGTGTGTATATATATACAGGGGTTCCCAAAATTATAGGACCCCCTACAAGTTTCAGAATAATAACGTTTTCACCAACTAAAGAAGCTTTGATAAGGGATCTAGTGTCATATATATAGACACCACTAAAGCATCTATCATGTGCTGTATTGATCTGTATTTGGTTAAATATTTATAATATTTAGATTCAAGAAATTTTGAATTTCACTGCTTGCATAATTATAGGACCCCCCTCTCAAGAGTATAAAAGTATTGCCTTAATNACATATGCTAGTGATATCACGAAAGAACATGTTTCAACAATATTTGAAGTAAAATGCTGAGAAAGCAATAGCAACAGCACAAAATTTTAACAAGATAAGTTGTTTTTTCTCAGACATTTTATTTCAAAAATTGTTGAAACATGTTCTTTCGTGATATCACTAGCATATGTTATTTTTTGTCATAATAAGACTAATTTGTCTCCTTTTTGAGACTAAGTTCCCGGGCGTTCAGAGATAAGCTTCCGTAAAAAGAAGTAATCTAGTTGGTGTAGAATTCGACGCTCTTTCTGATGGCATCCTTGAAAAAAAAATACGTTCGGTTTTTGTATGAAAATGATTCTTTTTTTCATAAGTTCCTTACAAAATACCTTATCTTGACTATCTTTATTTTACCTTTTCACAATTATTAATGTCTTCAAAGTTTGTTGTCAATAGATATGTGGACTATACAACTTTTAATGCTCTATCTAATGGTGTAGTTTAAATCTAGTTTTATTACATTAAACAAGTGGAAACCTTTTTTTTTTAGCTAAAATAGGGTTATTGTGGGGTATAGGTTTTCCACCCTTTAGTTTCTTGGACCATAGAAAAGTTAAAGTATAGCTTATATAAGTCTATATTTTTTTCAGTAGATAACTAATTATCTCCTCTTTCGAATAGATACTGAGAAGATTTTTTTTTGACTTAAACAAATGAACATTAAGGCAATACTTTTATACTCCTGAGAGGGGGGTCCTATAATTATGCAAGCAGTGAAATTCAAAATTTCTTGAATCTAAATATTATAAATATTTAACCAAATACAGATCAATACAGCACATGATAGATGCTTTAGTGGTGTCTATATATATGACACTAGATCCCTTATCAAAGCTTCTTTAGTTGGTGAAAACGTTATTATTCTGAAACTTGTAGGGGGGTCCTATAATTTTGGGAACCCCTGTATATATACGACGATAACCATAGGAAAAATTGCTAACATGTGGCAAGAAAGGACAAATCTATTATATATGCATTAGATATACACGTATAAGTGTACTCATAGAACCATTGTAACTAGTAACAGTAAGTCCCCGTCCCCCTAAAAAAAAGTCAATTTTCGAAATTGAGATAAATGCATGAGAAGATAGCCCATCTTCAGATCTCTCATAAACGGCAAAAGTTTTTATTCAGCACCTCTTTTTTTCAAAACTTTTTTATGGATTTCCCTCACTTCCTATTCGAAAAATAAGCTGTTTTCACAAGAAAACGAAAATCTTTTTCGTTTTTTCTCAATTTATGCTTTCGTGAACGCGCAAGCAAGAATTCTTTGTTCACGCTGTTCAAAATATTTGTATCTTTTTTTGTTTGAACGAGCACGCCAAGATGCAGTGCAGTACAGAGCCCTTTTTTTTAAATTAAGCTTGATTTTTATTATATGTACAGTCACCTATGTGAATTGGCGCCCAATTTTAGCGGGTTATTTTAGTCATTGAACTTGTGACCTCCCTTTCTTCCCTAAAAAGTAAGAATTTGAAAAAAAAGGGCTCTGTACTGCATTGCATCCTGACATGCTCTTTTAAACAAAAAAAAATTAATTATGTAGAATGAACCTGGACAGAGAAATTTGGTTTGCCAAATGAGCTATTCTTGACCCTTGTTTGTTCAGTATCTTCTTTAAACGTCATGATATCGGGCTGAAAATTGTACATAGCTTCTTCACTATAGCTCCAGCATGTTCTGAAAATTTCACGCAATTTGAACGTTTCTGGGCTGAGATCGGTTTTTGAGGGGAGGGGGGGGGCCTAAACGACCAGTCTGGTCTGAATTTTCAAAAGATTTTTGCATGATTTTTTCGAAAAATTTAACATAAAAGTGTTTTTTTTTCGCAAATCCAAAGTTTGTTACTAAAGTTCAAAATTATATCGGCCAAGAAATATGTATCAGACTAATCTATTAAGTCAAAATTCGTCATATTATCCTTATTATACTTTTTGAACTCACAGTGTCATGACGTCATGTTATTAAAACAGAATCGAATAATTGTTTAGTATTGTAGTTTTTCATAGATTTTGTTTTTGTATTTCTTATTATTTATAGCAAATATTTTTCACAGATGTTAGAGATAACAAAGCGAATTTAGCATGTAAGGTAGACAACATTTACAGTTAATAAATGGTACCGATGTCTGATGACTAGCTAATCAATATACAAAATTAATATAGAATTTATAGTCCTATGAAGTTTTTCATCCATCAATAGATGTCACGAAACAGTGCTTTTTTGCCATTAATGTAGTGATTAGGAGGAAGATATCACTCACGCGTTTATACCGGTATCGGTAAGGAAAGGATCCTGCCGGTTCTAACTATAATTCACACATATTGGACATACTCTAAATCATTTGCATGTACACGTATTTATGTTAATGATTTCTTAGTTTCTATATAATGATATCATTCATGGATTTTTCTTAATTCTTATAATGATACTTTTCCTTCTATTGTATATGTTGTTGATGATAACGATTGTCTGTAAGAGTCTTTCTCGCATCAATCGAATCATTGTATTCTAGTTCGAAAGCTTCTATTTTTATTGACTATTACAAAAAAAATTGATAAGAATGAATAATATTTCGAGTATGATTGCTAAGAGTTTCTATTAAAAACTATTCTTCTTGAATGACATCAGCGATCGAACATTAATTATAAACGATTCTCTATTTTATCTATTTATATGAAACATCTGTATAATTTCTCTTGTAAAATCCATTATGTATTCATATATTGTTTTCGAAATATAGTTTTAAATTTTCATTCATGAAAAACAAGAATTTATTTTATTTAGAAATGTGCTAATACAACAGAAATACCCAGACAATCGAATATAACTTTTTTTAATTTTACAAAAAGTATTTATCTTAATCATTTACCTGTTATTATTGATGATGCAACAGAAACGTGGCCAGCAATGAAAGAATTAACAATAAACAAATTATTTCAAGTTTGTTTTTATTGAAATTTTATTAAAGTCATTGTTTTCTTCTATGTTTTTTTCAATTTATTTAGCTTTTTATTGAAGATCCTGTTCTTGCCGAAAATGATCTTTGTTATTTTGAAACAAATATTCGTAATTATAATCAAGTGGGAGGTGCTGATCGACTTTTTAATGATTATATAAATGGTAATCGTCGTTCCTTTATTGTTCAATGGTAAATAAAAGATTTTTCTTTTATGAATTTTATTTATTTAATTAAATTTAGGAATAATTGTAAAAGAGAAACATTGAAAGTTATTCGATCTTATTATAATAAACCTTATTTTTTACCACCATCTGTTGCTCAAACTCTAATGGGAAATTGGTTTTTAGTATCAGCAGGCTTTCATAAAGGAATTGATTATTTACATAAAGTAAATAAAATACAGATGATTTATATTTTTGATGAATCTTATTCTTTTATTATTCAATGATTAGATTCCTTTGAATTATGATTGGGTTTGGTTAGCACAAATTCAAGGTTCAAGTTTAATTGAACTTCGACCAAAATATCCATGTGAAAAGATGTGTTCGATATTAAAATCTGTTACATTGAATAAGGGAGATTTAAGTAATAATTGCTTTCTTTTTTTGAAAGGACCTTACTGGACAAGATGATCATCCTTTACGTTTTTATTTTCTAAACAGTCATATATCAGCTAAGAGATATTATAAATATTGTAGATAATATGACTGCATATTATGATTCAGTATATCTTCAAATCAATCTGCAGATTATTCTGTTGAAAGTTAATTCAATAGAGTATTATTTGGTCTTCAATCGTATATATTTAATAATTCTTATAATAGCTTGATTAGTATTCAAACTCACAGTATTTTTACTAGATTCTGTAACTTTTGGTTGGTATGATATTTGAAATTTCTCCATACTGCTCTTAAGCGCAAAAATGGCTAAACATGCAATATTCTCACAGATTTTGCGCCATTTTCAAAAGATCCATATATATTCAACAATGGGGTATCATGAACTTATCAGTTATAGATGAAAAATTTTTCACTCAACAAGTATTTAGTGCAAAACTGATATACTTTATTGTTTTTAGATCTCAAATACTTTTGCCTTTTTAGACCTTGATTGGTTGATCTGACTATGATTTATGTATATGCAGAGGACAATTGATTGATTTAAATATAGTTTAATGGTACAAAATTTCTGAGAAAGTATCACTGTCGGTCACCTTTGCGCTCAGGAGTTATATCGAAGCATTGAAAACGCTGATAAAAGTCAAAAGTTGCAAAAGCTCGTAAAAGTGCGATGGTTTTGGGTACTAATAAAGTTGTTGTGAGAATTGTTAGATATATATATAATTGAAGACCAAATAAAATTCTATTGAATTAATATTAAACAAAACTTTACGTGGGTTGATTAGGAGGAGACATATCAAATCATAATATTTGGTCATATTAGTGTCAATTGCAGTAATATCCGTTAACTGGCATATGCCTTCTCAAAGTACAGATAACTTTTCGAAATGAAGGATGGTTACTTTATTCAGCAGGATCCATTATTTAAATTATTTGAGTTTTTTTTTTTCTGTTTTAGTTATTTATTCACATTTGTATGATGCTTTTTATAGTCCATTGAAAAAAGAAACAATTATATTAGCTCAAGGTGTTGATTAACATCTGATAAATTGATTAATTAATGTTATCAATTTATCAGCTTGTTCTTCTTGTGCCAAATGACCACATTGTGAAATAATGACATATTCAGTTATACTTTCGACTGGACGATTTTGTTTTAAAATATTATAGAATTCTTGAATATCTTCTTTTGATACTATTTTATCTTGTTCACCAATAATAATCAAAATTTTTAGTTTATTATCAAGTTTATTCCATAGGGTATTTGATGGTGATGCATCATAATTTTGTGTAAAAAGAACGAAACTTTTTATAAACAGTGGATCATCACGAATAGGTTTAAGATAGCCTTCACGAGTTATGTTATCATTTGCAATATCGCCATTATAATAAGCATTTTTAAATGGAAGAAAATGTGTTAGACCAAATTTTATTAGATATTGAATTGGTTTAGTGCCAAGAAATAATCGACTGATAGGACCTGCTGAATGTTCAAAAGTAACAAGACCATAAGGAGCAACAAAAATAATTGATTGAATAAGATCAGGTCGAGCTATAGCCATATCAAAAGCAACAACAGCTCCAGATGAACTCGAAACAAGATGAATATTATTTGATATATTCAAGTGATTGAGAAGTTCAAGTGCAATTAATTCTTCATTTTTTCGAGTATAAAGTTCACCATTGAGTATGCGTTCAGTTAAACCAAAGCCCAAACGATCATACGCTAAAACTTGATAACCAGTTAAATCAGCTATCGGCTGTAAACATTTATTCCAAGTAAATGTACTACAAAGAAAGCCATGTATAAAAATAATAGTACCATTACTTTCAGAACATGTTCCATTATTAGGAATAACAAGATTATAATGAATACGAATACCACGCACAGAAATAAAATGTGATTGTGGAGATGAAGTCATGTGTTGTGTCGATGATGTTACATACAAATGATTCATGACTCATCCGGCAAGGTGAAAGCAATGCATTATTTTTTTTATTCTGCTATATGATCACGATAAAGATGAAGTGCATATTTGCTATACAATATGAGAAAAGGTGACATTTTAGTTGTATTTGAGTACTAACTTCTGTTTCTATCGACTGATTAAGACAATCTTTTTTATATCTTATTCCTCTTTGACAACATTCCATTACTATACAAAATTTCAGCTCTTTAGCTCGTACTATCGCTGAGCTATGGGTGCGGATGAGTGTGGATGCATGTGCACAAGCGATTCAACATCCACACGCACATATTCACGTCTGCACTCTCAATCAACTCATTTTTCGTTGCATGCGCTATCTACCTATGATTCTGAGTCATGACAGCCAGCAGCGAGTCCTTGTCACAAAATTAAGGCGCACGAAAATTTATGGGGGCTACGTTCTTAACCTACGAGTTTCAACAAATTGTAGCACTCGAACTAATCACAAAACCCTGGTTCGCAAAGCAGGCTGTAAGCAAGTGAAGCACGCTAGTTATTCTCTACTCGTAGTGATATCTACTTCAGTATTTGAAGTGAAGATCTTACGATACGCCAATTTAGAAAAAACTTGATATTAGTTGATGAAACACTATTTATCCAAAGTAGCCTTTAGCGCTAAAGTCGTTTAGATCTGGATTAGTCAAAAAAAGGTGTGGAAAAAAAAACGGGACGTTATCGATCTTTTTTCTCAAGAGCATACTGTTGAAAATCAATGTTGGAGAGGAATTATTGTTAATCATTAAGTCTTTTTATTATGTATTAATCTTGTTTAATTATAAAAAAAATTCATTTTAAGTAAATTCTGAAACAGAGAATAAAGAGTTCTGATTTATGAATTGAAATAGAAATTAATTTATAACTTGAAGAGATCCAATGACATAAACAGGTTTTGTCAATCGTGCACCAGCTGACCAACCTCCATTACACGAAAACGATAGCCGATCACTATAGCCAGAGCGTTCTACACCAGTCACACTGAATGAATATGATTCTTGTTGTCTCAATTTAGTTTCAAGTTGAGACCAGCAGTCTGAATCAGGAACAGAAATACAACCCGCAGTAATCGAACCAGGATGTAAAGCAATTTTTGAGCGTCCCGTATCTGGATTTTCACAATAATAATCCCAAAACCCATCTCCATTTTTCTTTTTAGGATATAGATTGACCCAATAGTTTCCATTCCCTCTGTTCCATATCACAGTACCCAGTTTATAATACCCAAAAGGCGTCTCGTTCGTATTAGCTGAACATTCTTGATTACCGCATTTAATTTTTCTAGTAGAACGTGAAAATGTACACGATATATCACCTATGAATAATGGAGAGAGAAATCATAGTGCAAGTCATAACGTACAATATATACCTACATTCAATGCCCAATATTACCAATGCAAAGAGGAGAAAGGCAACAATAGATGATAACATTCTTCTTCAATAATTCTAACTTATTCTTTTTAACATCTGGCTATGTATAAAGATAATCTAGAAATTTAAAGCCAATATGACGATAATAATCATTACTTATTTATCTACTTGTTTACTCGTGGCAAAAATCAAAAATAAAGTCTGAAACATAGTAAGATTGGTCTCTTCTACTTTTTTTGTTGTGCAAACAAAAGATGTTGTCCTTCATGTTTTTCTTCAAACTTATACATCTCTCAAGAATAAGATATAGGTATTTGTAATGTATGTTAAGGCGAAAGCTTGACGTCTCTTTTAGTGCAATGCTAGAGCATCTGTCCGGTAAACAGAGGGTACGTGGCCCGATTCTTGTGAGGAGCAGGAACTTTTGTGCTCTGTCGGCTAAATGTTGTCTCATTGTTTCGGTGTTTAAGAGTATTTATTAGGAAAAACTTTCGGCGAAATTTGAGGATGTGAATCTCGTATGACATGATCCACTTTTTGTGTCTAGGAAGAGACTGATGGAATGGATTTAACTCTGTTGCATCCGTTCAATGGATTGGAAAATTGCAAACAAGTACAGTAGATTCAAAGCCATCTGACAACTGTTTTCATAGACAAGAAATCTAGATCAGCATGGCATGAGAGATTTCCACTATCACTCTTAGCATTTCATTACGTATCATTTTATATGCATAATTACTCATGCTATCTGACGAGACCCTCAAGGAAAATCGCAACTAAAATCAGTAGCTTCGTATTCTTTATATTCACTCTCATCTACATGCTGAACCTTTGCTGTACGTATATGAAAAAAGTGCTTTTTTTAAATCTCGATCCGTGATGTTGCTTTGTGGTAGCAAAAAACAAAAAATATAAAAGAAAGATGTTTAGTTACGTCACAATCAAGTATTTGTTAACATTTTTCTTTCTCAAAATAAGATAAAAGAAAAATCGTATCGGTTGCTAATTAGTTTTATTTGTCTCAATGAATTCATAATATGATTTAGAGATGTCAGATCTTTGTATCTCTATTGATGATGCCTGCAATAACACTTTTACTAATTGGACCTTTTTCTTTTGGCTCCTATTAAGGTAAACAAGAGAGTACAAATGATGAGAAATATGATTAACCGAAATTGGAAAGAAAATAAGAAACAGATGCACGACTACATGTCATGGAAGCGGATTAAAATGTGCATTCAGGTGAAACAGAAAATTTTCATATATGAAATAAGAATTCTTCTTTTCAAACAACATTTGTAACAATCAATTATTTAAACTTTTTTTTCTTTCTTTCAGGAAAATACTTTTTATTGAAGCAAAAGTTTAATGAAGTAATTATGTGATTTTTATCTCAGGCATTATTGATTTTATTTTCTCAATAAAAAACGATAGTGTATCTTTACCATATGCTAAATGTAAAATTGATGCCAAAATAAGCATTAACAGCACAGATTTAAATGATGCATCGTATTATAAGAGACAGACAATCTGAGATAAGAAATCCCAAGGATACTATTCTCGAGATATAGTTTTGTGTTTATTTTTGTCTGATATTCCGTAGATCTTGATCAGGAAAATACGAATCATATAAAACATAATATGATATTCTGAATTAACATCTAAACTTGAGCGGATTTACATGAATTTCAAATATTTTTGTGAGCTAGTTTTTTCGTGGCAATATATAGGGCAAGTGTGGATGTCGCCGGAGCAATATGCTCACTCACATCCTCTGAATAGGAAATTTTAAAATCTCTTGAATCTGATTAAGATACACACTGAAAATAATAGAAAATCTTACGGGTTTGATCATTCTTTTTCAATCATTTCAGAGATTTTCTACAATTATACTTACTGTTTTTGGTAAAAATCATCGAATAGGACCAGTAATACATTTCAAAAGTAAAGTTAATATTGGTGTTGATGATGAACGTCAACAACATTCAAAAGGTGTACATGTTATATTTACAATACAATCCGTAAGTAATGAGTCATCAATGGATATATACATAAAAAGGGTTGAAAAAGATACGAGGAGGGTGTAGCTCTTCTCTTCGTCCACATCCATATCCGAGCCTCAAAACTAGAGGAATATCTACTAATACCTATCTTCAATTTTTATATATAATAATGGCTAAGAGAGAAATGAAGGTTTGTCGTGCACGAACTCTGGCGGAAGTAAAATTTATAGTCATTGAGGAATCAAATTATACTGATTTAAATTTATTTGATGGTTATTTTATTATGCACACGGCTCCTTAAAGCATTTAAGCTTATAAATTATGATAATATGTTTACGCTGTTGATCAACAAGTACTACTACCCTGTACGATAAAGTAAAATAAATAAATGTAGATTTCGGTTTCTGTTGGGAAGCATTCAACGAATAGTCTCGAAAAACAGTCAAACGCTGTCTACCATGCATTTGACTAATGAATTGTCAAATATGATCTGGTAGTGAAATTATAAGATTGGCTTGTAAGAATTGTTTTAAAATTTTTATGTGATATTCTGCTTCATTTAATAAATAAGATTAATCGTCAATTAAGTGCAAAAGCATGGTCTTCTATAGTCTGGGTAAATGTGAAATGAAGTGAATTAAACAAAGACGTAAATATAAAACAGTATTTTTCGCAGAAAAGGCGGAATTTAGTTTCGTATTTTATTTTTTTTACATATCAGTGTACATTCGCATAAATCATAATAGATTCACTTATGCGAAATTAATTTGAAATATTATTTCAATAAAGTACGTTATATGGGAGTGGTCAATTTGACTGGTACCCCGTTTGATACAGTCCTATTGTACAGATAAAACCTACTATTGTCCGGGCCATATAATAGAGGATCCTATATAATCCTGGATTGGCCCGAACAACGCTATGTTTTATCCTTACAATAGTAGGAAAAAGCTACCAACTCACGATTGAGGCTAGTAGCTTTTCTCTACTATTTACGGATAAGACATGGTGTTGTTCGGGCCAATCCATGGTTATATAGGATCCTCTATTCTATGGCTCGGACAATAGTAGGTTTTACCCGTACAATAGGACTGTATCAAAACGGGGTACCAGTCAAATTGACCACCCCCATATTTATCGTCACTTTCAGTGTAGCGTAAGTTGGTATCTTCTGTGTGCCGCAAGAGCTTTAATAATTGATTGCCTTTTTACTATAGATGCTTCATCGCTGATGCATCAGGTGAACATATTTCTCTATTTTAATATGTTTTTGTCTAATAAAATAAAAAGTCCAACTTATTTCTAGCTGCACTTTTTCATTTGTTCGCATAGTTTTATCGTTCTTTCTAGACCGCACAATGAAACATTCAGAAACTAGTGGTTTTGGATATCGTTTGTCATGTTGGCGTGAAACTCAAGCAGAGTTATCCTTAACAAACTTCGATTGTCACTGCTTACTTATGACACAGACTCAGATTGGACTTCGTGCTGACATGATTATCTCGTGTTCAACTTTGGTTTCATGTTGAACAGATCATTAGAAGACTAAGAATCCAATGCGGTTTGTGTGAATAACACACAACGTCGAAAAGTGTTTGCTATCCACTTGCACAAGCTTCGTCTTAGAAATCTCCACCACAATATCTATTGAAGCAGAATGTGGATGTGGTTGGGTGAAGATAAGACTCAAACCATTGTTTATTTACTGTAAATCTATAAATCCACAACAACTTCTGAATAATCGTCATAATATTGATGATATTAACTCAGTTCAACATACATATGGTTCTTTTTCTACCTCGTCATTGAATTCAAATGATCTAAAAACTCAACCACATGCATGCACACCATATTTATCTCCATACACCCATTTAATCGCAACTACATTACCTTTTCAATATACACAACCTACGTATTCGTCATACCTAATTTGTTATGGTTGCTGCACAATTCTTTACATGAATTTCATGAATTGAATCAAATTCAGTAGACATATTTGTCAACATTGCCCAGGTGGAAGAAAACGGCCCGTAAACAGCCTGAAACGGCATAAAAACGATGTAAAACGTTAAAAAACGGCGTCGTTTTCCGTCAGCTCAGAAAACAAAGAGAATAGCGTGAAAAACGATGGCCGTTTTCTAGCCAAAAAAAACGGCCCGTAAAACGAGCTGACGGATTACGGCGAAATAGGGTGAAAATTAATGTCATTTAATAGACGTTTCAGGCCATTTTCGATGGCCTTTCATACGACCGGAATGATCCTCCTAGGTGTGTACAAACTTTATTCTATCGAATCCAATATTCTATGAACATTGCATAATTCGCGAAGCTCTTTCAAATAATCGAATGTGAATAAGCACTTATTACTTTATTTGTTTATTTCTCAGATTTTCTATTTTGTTGTAACAATGAAATATTATAATATTTATTTTAAATTTGTTCACTTAAGTGTAGTATTTTCTTCTACAACTCAATGTTCTAAAATACCTTCTGTATTTTCTCATTTTTTTCTGGTATTTGTCGATATGTTTTTGAGTAAATTTGAAAAAATTTGACATTCTTTTAAAAACTTCGTATTTTTATTATTAATTGTTTGACTATTGACTCTATAAATCTAATGATTAATCACCGTATTTGAAGTGATTTGGCGCAACTTTTTTCAGAATTATTTTTTTTTAAATAATTATACTTGGATCAGGTAAAAAATTGGAGATCAAGATTAGTACAGGCTTGTGGAGAAACGTTTGCACTACTCAGCGATATAGTTCTTTTTAAAAACCAATTTAGAATAGCTTGCAAAATTAACTTTTATTGATTATTTATAAAATATCTAGTATTACGAAATCACCGTGAACAAGTACATTAATACCTAAATCATTCCATGGCGAGTGATTTGGCACAGTTAATAGTATATAGCGGCGATCATTTCTTCGAAATCGAAAAGCATCTTATCACTTTGAACGATTGAACAACAACTCGAATCTTTTTCTATTAATAGTAGTTAACGTCAAATAGGACAAAAGAAAAGATGCATCAGCGGTTTTCACTATGTCATTTTTGTTGATATTCTGACCGTATTGCTACAGCGCATGTTTCATCAGAACGCAACGGGCTCCGTCGTATATGGTTGGATGGGTGTGGGTGTCGGTGTTGGTATAGGCTTTACAGAAAATAAACCATAGATCGACACCCACATTCACACCATTTTTTATCATCACAAAATATTAATGAACAAATTAAAACTTTTTAACAATATCTAGCAATAAGATGTGTGCCAATCAATGTTCGATACGGATAAATTCTTCTTGACTCGATCAGATCAGACCTAAGATCAATGATACTTTTTAATCAACTAAATCGAACTTTTTCAGAAGTAAAGCATTCTTTTTTAGTAAATCTATATGACCTCTCGAAAATTCACAAGAGCTAAATCAAATTTGACTTTTTACAGATCTGCTATTATTATTTACTCGGAACTATGTGTAAAAATGACTTCAACTTTTAAAAGGAAGTGAAAGCTAACAAAAATGTTCTTATTCACTATTGTAATATTTTTAATCTTTCTCTTTTACTCTAAAATGTTTAAAAATCGACCGCATTCAGATGTTTTGTATTGGAATAAGAAAGTTCATAAGCAATATATTTATATTCTCAAAAGAAAAATCATGAATAAAAAACATTTTTATGCTAGAAAAAGATGCAATATCGGCATTTTTGTTTTGAAAAGAACAAGCAAGCTAGAGAGCGAAAATCTTTTATGAGAATATTTGCATTGTTTAAATAAATGAAAAAGATGAAAAAAGTACTTCGAGTTCAGATTCACTTGATTCTATTCGTTCAAGTTCGATCATATTTCAAATCCCGATGTTGTTACGCAGTTTCAGTTGCAGAATAGCTTGATTCTCTATTGAATCCTAAATCAATTAATATGTAATTAAATGAAATAAACTAATACTACATGAGAAAATAAACAGTAAAAAATTCTTTTTTATTTAGTTTCTTCTGTTATTTGTTTATCTTTATTAATACATAATAAATAAAAAAGTTCTTATATGAGTGTGGACATGGCACTTTCGTTTATTCACATTCTTGTGAATGCTTTATGATAGGAATTCATCGATGCCAATCTTGTCTTGCAGCACTGACCTTTGAACAAGTCAATTAGACAAATTCATACTATATCAAGGTGATAGAAGAGGAAAATAGACAGAGTTTAAGTAGTAAAAGAATAGATGGCAGCATTCGTTGGTACAACAGTGTTGATGCATATACCAACTGAAGGAGTTTCAACAGCTCTTCAAGTGGATTATTGACCAGTTTTTTTTGGCATAGAAATAATTCATTAATGCTGTTTCAGACAAATTCTTGAAGACGTCTCATGAGTTGCTCTATCCATTGAGTACGTTCTCAACTTTTCATTGGTTATCTCATTAATATCAATGGCTATGAGCCATCAGAAAAGAATTTTCCTTCTCGATGACTCGTCTCTAAAGAGGAAGAAATAATATTGTAGGAATAATAAGAAGCACAAGTTCTGTTTAATTAACATGAAATGGAAAAATTCGAACTATTTTTCATTTTAGATAGGCTTCAATTTAAGGTTATCATCAAATCTGATGAAGAGCAATCAATTGTACTCGTATACCAGTAAATTCAACCGATCTCAACACACGTTTTCATCCTCCGTTGGCATCGACCGCAAACGAAACGTCAAACTGGATCGAAAATCTTCCACTAAACAACACACACAATCCAAACAGGATTTCTCCTCTGTTGCAATTACCAAGACGCCGATGTCAGAGATAGAATCCATTTTGGTGAGATTGGATATTTCATTTTTAAAAACATACTATAGTCCTTTGCTTTCAAACTCAGATTGACATTTTGTTTTTTTTTTCTTCCAGCTTTGATAATTTTGTTCTTTTGTATTTTCTGTATGCAATGGACAATATTGTATTATATATTGGGCTTACGGCTATATAGAGGGCGCGACTCGCTAGAAGTAACCCTATTTTAAAAGGCGGCAGCTGTTAAAAAATAGAACTAATGACTTATTTAGTACATCCGTGACACTTATCTTGTCGTGATCTTTTTAAGTCACTGTCATGCATTTTTTATATTTTTTCTTGTTTGAATCCTTACTTATACATGGCAGTTATTGGTTGCCAATAGCAACCTAATTAATTATTCTCATTTTCCTAGCTATAAAAGAAGTGGATATTGATTTACAAACTGAATGCTCTCTAACAATGGCATTGAGCATGACAACTATTGAATGAAATGGTCAAAAATGAAGTATACTTTCTCATAGATGTTAGGACAGCTTATTAACGATTATCTTGTGTCCAAGAAACTTAAAGATCATATTAAGAATGCAAAGAATTACGAAGAAACTGATAAAAATGAAGAGGATGAAGGTGAAGGTGTCGGTATCAATCTAGAAGAAGACGATATCATTGAATAACTTGTATTAAACACAAAATATTGGGAAGAACACTGCCAGACTTAGTGATGAGAGTATGTGATATACATTAAAGATGTTACTTTTTCTAATAAATTCGTTATCATTTATGTAAAATAGATAACTTTGAAAAGCTGATGTCACACATTTTGGTACACATATTTTATTTTATTTTTCATAAATTCAGTTCCAAGATCTGTTAGTTATATTATACAGCTTATAGCGTCATATAGTAAATATCTAAGTATGGTGGTGAAATAATACAAATTTGTTGTAGGAGAAATTGCTAAATAAAACATTCGTCAACTTGAAGATGAGACCAAATGGCTACCATTTTTAGAGACGATTAGATTTCTCGAGGAAGAGCAACTCCTTTATTTTGTTACAGCCAACCACACGAAATAAGTTATATGCACCCTTGAAGTTTTACAGTATTTAAAAAACTCAGTCTGCGATAATTAAGTATGATTTAAAATTTATTTTTTTTCTCTTGGAACAAACTAAAGTAAAACCTCGTTATATATTGGACACTTCAACATTCCGGAATGTGTTCACTAAAAAGATATTTTATTGTGAACTGCCATATTTCGACCAAATGGTTTAATAGTTTTACAACTGATAAAGGAATTTTCGAGATTCATATTCATAAGAGAAAGGTTGTCAAAAACTATGTTTCATGTGATTCGAAGTGGACAAAGGTCCCCGATGTTTTTTGATAGTGTGGCATCAAGATGTACTATATCAAAACAGGTTACTATTTTTGAAACCTGTTAAAACGAATCGAATTGAGCCGGCTTCGACGCACTCTGATAATGTTCATGCGTCTGAGACGTTCCACATTAGCTGCAGAATCCAAATCGATATCAATTATGGTGTACACTTTTTATTATAGATCACGCTGCAAAAATTTTCATCAGTAAAATGTATTCTACAACTATTTGCTTCGCGATTAATTTGAATTCTTTCTACGAAAAATTCAAATTGGAATAGAAAACATTCTGCAATCGTGTATAGCTGGAACCAAAAATTGTAAGCGCTCGCTACTGCCACTAAATTGTCGGTATAATAACGATAGTACGAACAAATGTGAGAATTTGGGCTACAGTTCTTTGTTAAAATTAGTAATAAAGACTTCAAAATGGTTTTTAACAACATTTTTCTTATGGCTATGAGCTATGAACACTCCTCAATCAGTAGTAAAAATATCAGTTCATTTGGTCGAAATATGGCGAAGATACACAATTTTTTTCTTCGTTTAATGACTCTTCGGATGCCCTATATTCGTGTACTTTTGCAAAAAAGAATTTTATGTCATGAACAGCTAGTTTTCAGTGTTTTATGTGAGACATTAACAACGGGACCGAACTCTTCGTTTTACAAAGAGAACTGTTTCGGAAGAACAGTTTTTCGCGGTCAAGATGACTTTAGATACTTTGTTTTTCAATCCCATTGAATCCGTCCAGAAGAAACGAGTTCGAAAGCTTTTTTAAATATTATTCTAGAATTATGCATTTCAATCGATATTTTATTGAAGGTCAAATATTTTGTTATTTTGTAGGAAACAGCTACCAAAGAGCTTCGTCATGCCAAACGCGTGTTAGCTATCACTGGCGCAGGCATTTCTGCAGATTCTGGACTACCAACCTACCGTGGTATCGGTGGTCTTTATAGTGACGGTCAAGAGGTCGAAGAAGGAATGACCATCGAGGAGGCTCTATCCGGCTACACTATGCGCACGGAGCCAGATATTTGCTGGAAGTACATCTGTCAAATCGAGTCTGCCTGCCGTGCTGCTAAACACAATTCTGCACACGAGGCACTCGTAGCTCTTGAATCGAAGTTTGAACATTTTACTGTAGTCACTCAAAATATCGATGGTTTACATCGCAGTGCCGGCACAAAAGACCTTATCGAAATTCATGGCAACATACATCAACTATTTTGTACCATTTGTGATCGTGAAAAGCATGTTGCTGACTTCGATGGCATGGAAATTCCGCCTGCTTGTAGCCGCTGTGGTGGGCTCATACGACCGCGCATCGTTCTATTTGGTGAAATGTTGCCAATGCATGCGCTCACTCGACTTTCCGAAATAGTGGATAAAGGTGTCGATGCTGTTATCACAATTGGAACTACTAGTGTATTTCCATACATTGCGGGACCAGTTTTACGTGCTGCAGAAAACAATATTATTACTATTGAAATCAACCCAAGCGATACCAAAGTGTCACATGCTGTGCGATATCGTCTGCGCGAACGGGCGAGTATTGCTTTGCCTGCATTATTGAAACATCTTTCGTAGTTCGTTTGAAATGCTTGTTCATGGTGTACCTTATAATTGGCTATTTGTGAATATCAACCATTCTACATTTGTTTTTTTGTGGAATTCAAAAGAAAACCATGATTATATACGAAGCATCTTCTTGGAAAATCAATCTTCGCTGAAATGACAAATTAAAGTCATAGACTATCGACAAGAAAAATGAGTGCGACCAATAGATATCGGGTGTCCCAGGAATAATGAGCCTCCCAGTATTTTTAAGATTTCCTGTCTATTATCACTGTAAGTAAAGCTCTCATTATTATCAAAAGATAGCGCTTAAAATTCTCTACAAAACCATAGATGACTAGGCTCAAAAATAGTTTTAGGTATATTTGAAAAAAGACGAAAACTAAAGATATACAAAAAGCTGTAAAATGTAAATAACGAATGTTCCATAATAAATGGTTGCGCTTTGTATTTCATATTTTAATCGCTAAATAGGTTTTATTAAAAAAACAAATTATACCATAAGAAGCAGGATAAAAATCTCTACAATCTACAAATTAAAGTTTATTTTAATTGTGTATATTTTGTTTACAAAAAAAGCAAAATTTTGTGCGACCAATTTTCGCCATTGTGAAAAAAATCATTTTTTTACACGAACGAGAAATCCTCTTCTTATTTTATCTTTTTATCACCGAATGTAGTTTCTTCAAAACAATCAAAATATATCACAAGATGCAGCATGAATAGCTCTATAATTTATAAAGAACAGTTTATCTTATTTGTATTATTTTTTAGTTGAAAACAACTCCAAATTCAGTATGATTGGTTTTCGCAAAGGCGAAAATCAGTCGCACAGAGTTTTGCTTTGTTTCAAAACAAAAGGTATACAATTAAAATAAATTTTAGTTTGTGGGGTGTAGAGCTTTTCATCCTGCATCTTATGGTATATTTTGCATTTTAAATAAAACCTATTTAGCGATTAAAATATGAAATACAAAATGCGGTCGGTTATTCTTGATGACATATTTACATTTTACAGCCGTCTGTATGTCTTTAGCTTTCGTCTTTTTTCAAATATATCTAAAACTGTTTTTGAGCCTAGTCACATATGGTTTTGTAGAGAATTTTAAGCGCTTTCTTTTGATAATTAAGACAGCTTTACTTACAGTGATAATAGACAGGAAATCTTAAAAATACTGGGAGGCTCATTATTCCTGGGACACCCGATAGATCATGGGTTCACACGTCATCTTGGTCGATATCTGTGTTTTCATTTGTATCGCAGCAAACCAAACTATGACACAGTCAACGCTTGTCTTCCATTGTGTTTTTTTGATTTTTGTATTGTTATTCTGTCTGTTTCTTCAATTTCTCTGATAAAATAAACTGTTGTTGAGCGACGGAAATGAATGAAGAACACACGACAACTCAAAACATTACAGTCTCTAATAGTAGACAACAAAACGTCAGTACAGATTTGCCTTTTCTTGTCTGAAAAAAGAAACCAATCAGCGTGGTTCGATATAATTCAAATAGATTGATTCATGCAAGGAATTATTTATTTGTTTTACCTCTCTTTAGGCACAATGTCGATGTCCTTAAAAAGACAAATTTTATAACTCATGAAAACAAATTAGCCAAGAAAAGTCTCTATCTATGTTCGTAGAAGATTATTTCTTCGCTAGACCGAAGTTGTTATTAATATTCCAATATATCTACTAACTATAATCTAACACATCATATGATTTCACATAAACTGTAGAGAGTGGTTAAAAATGTTTCTCCAGAGGAGTAACACTGTAATTATAAATAACATCTACAGCAAATTAAATACGAAATTAAAGTGCCCTGAAAATGGAATTTATCAATATTAAATAGTGAAGATTATGGAACATTTTGACTGTCAAATTCAGAAAATTTCTAAAATCTTACGCCACATCATCAGAGAAAAATTACTTTTGTGAGGTAGTTGAAACTAGATCTCATATAAAATGATAAATATTAAAAAGTAATACTTATCTTTTTAACATTTGATGAATATAATCAATAATCAGGATAATTGGTGGTTGTCAAAACATATGAAATATGTATCATTAGAATTTCTCCATCATGACAACGGTGTTCCTTCTCTGATAGCAATTTTCTTCACTTTCATTTCTGACTATTGTTCCATCATTTTCAGATCAAGTGTCCCATATTTTGTGATATTGATCATTTTAAATGACATCTAGTTTGAACTATCTCATGATAGCAATGTTTCTCTGCTAATTTAGCGTAATATTTTAGGAATTTTCTAAATTCAACACTGAAAAGTTGATCCAAACCTTACTACTTAGCATGCAGTGAATCTCATTTTCGACAAGGCTTTAGTTTGGTATGCAATTTATTACTGACACTATTTTAAATCATAGCGTTACTCCCCTGCAAAAATATGTTTATCTATCCTGTACATAGTGAGTTAGCTTCTATAAGAAATGTTTATTCAGTCAAAACGGACGGATGCATATGATTGTTTAATTAAACATTCGCAAATTGAAAGAAATTATTGGAGTTCAATTAAATCTACAACAATATTGTCAACAGAATATGTTTCTTAGAAATCTTCTAAATCTTTCTCCCTGGACTTATATTATACTTCATGCTTTGATGATGTTGTTACTGAACCTACATAGAAAAAATGAATTTCTTTGTAACGAATCTTTTCTGTACGTTTACTTTATATGCTTTAAAAAATCATACTTAGCACATTTATCACGATTGCAATGATGGAGACTAATGTTGAGGTTGTTTCTTCTGTAACAATCAGCAGCTGAGATTGAGTACAATCGTTGCAGTGCAAAACATTATATTTAATTGAACCCGATATATCTTTCTTCTTTTTAGATCACTTTAATAGAAAAACATTGTACAACTGCTTTCTTTTCTCAGACATCTTTTCAAAATGTAAATTTCGTTTTTAATGCCACGGATTTATCATTCGTAGATTTACTATGGTACTAGAATGAATGTGAGAAAACAACAAAATGTAATTGATGTCCGGATTAAGTATGCACTTATACTCAGTGCATACACAATTAATGTATTATATATAGTAATAAACATAATTGTGTGATTACACGAAATAAGTTGCTCATTCATTTCATCTGTTTTAATGACCAACGATACAGAATTAAAGGATAGTCATTTTTCACTATTCCCCATTCTGCAATTTTCATTTATTATAGGGGTGTACACTTCCCCCTCACTTTCGCAAATGCTGGGTGAAGATAAACACCGTGCCCACATCCTCATTTAGTTTCAAATAGTTATTGTCCTTTTTTTAAATATGATTGCACGTGCACCAAGAAAAAAAGAATTCAAAACTCCTGTAAAAAAGAAGATTCAACCTTTCGCTAGGTTGTTAAACACATTATCGAAAGACAATGAGTCTGAAATGATTCTTTTAAATTTCTATTGTCTAAATTTATGTATACTTTTCTTTAATTTTTATTCAATGAATACAATCACTAATGGCTTCTTGAAAGGATTGCAATCACCTTGAGTTACATGCAAAGATAAAACGAATAGTAGATCACAATGAGTTTTAATAATTATTTATTATGACTAACTGCATCATACGTGAGTGCTTCAATAAATGACTATTTTTAATACGTAAAAATATTTTGTTAGTGCGTGATACACTATAGCAAAACTGCTATAAAAAGTGTTTGCAATCATGAAAGAAAGAAAGAGTAATAAGACGATGCCTTGCATAAGATTTATGAACACCGTATATTCTATTATTCAGGAAAATATGAGCTTGAGTTGGAATATCGATTGTGAAGATGGTATTGAGAAACTTCCATCTTAAATAAACAATAATGTATGAAGAGAGATACTTTAGAAGTGTTTGTCTTCTTTAACTAATGTTCAATGTGAATAAGTTGTAATAAAAATTTTTCATCTTTCTAAGCCAAGCACATGTCACTGTCTTTTCATGACAATAACAGTTTCATTAACACCTGAATCACTATAGAGAAGACATATAACTATATATAATTATTGTATTTACTTGTTGTCTTGAATATTTCATGTTATAAAAGACAATATTAAATTTTAGGAAACGAAACAGATGTATTCAGAAGATACTCGAATAGTGAGTCTCGATCACCTAGAGTAAAGTATTGCTTAAAATATCGATATAGACATCTCACTGTTGCTTTTTCGAAAACTCATACGCTAGAGCAAATGAGTTGACTTAACTTTTATTACGATAAGCTGCATAGATAAGAGTACGTCTAGCTTTGAATGCAGCTATCAATTGAATGATTGCTAAAAAAAAGTATGTCAAGAAAGAAATTTTTGTCCTTGTAAGTTAACGTATACCTTTCACATGTGTGTCATCATTTAATGTACCACAGATTCAATTTCTCGTAATGATATCGAACTCAAAATTGAATCTCTTTTCTAATGAACCAAAATTTGAGTAAGATTTGAGTAATTCACGATTTACACAAGGCATACTTTATTGCGTTCGCGCATTACAAAAGAAAAGTGTGTGCGTGGATAGGTGTGGGGTTGTTGGTGCCTTTGAACTGAAGATTAACACCAACACCCAAATAATTGATAACAATATCTGATTTGTTCAATTCGCATTGACTTGCACCAGTTTCGACGAGAGAAAAATATATTATTGCATAGAATCGATACGACTTGATAACACAATTTGAAATGTTAAATAGTATCTGCTAGTATTTTAACAAAAGGAGTATAATTTTATACATCTTGTGGTGGTTAGTAGCTCGTGCACAAGTAAAGAATGACATGACTTGCCGAAACTGAAGTATACTTCGACTAGAGACATGCAAATGAAATTAACTTTCAAGAAAAAAATGACCCAGATTGACGAATACAGTCCTTAAACGATCGAATACGTTTCATATTTTTGTGTGTACAATTTTATTTTGCTAGATTGCACGACTCACTACTACAAGTACAGATCTTCGTGACTATATACACTAGAATACGATCATATATGGAGAAAAATCGATCAAAAGGAGGCCGTATATAGCTTTCATAAACAAGGATAGTAAACAATCATCCACATATCTGTAAGCCAACGTATTAATTCGTATAACACCGTCAAAGACTGTGCCAATTTTACTCTAACATATAAATCTTATAGAACTTTTCCGAGCGTTTAAACTTTTGAGTAATACGTTCGATTGCAATATCCACTCTTTTTCTATTTACAATGAACGAGGTTTTCTCCCATAAAAAGTATTAATCCAATATTTGAGCTTATATATACAGGAAATAAAAGATGTCACTCGTATCTTTTCTCAATTTTATCTGATAAAGATAATTTTAGAATTATTTTGTAATGATTTTAGATCACGAGTCAATTTGATTCTATATTGGTAAGTAATGTTAAAAAATGCTTATGTATGTGACTTTGATTGGATGATGGTTATTATTGATAGAGATTTCAAGTTTGCTTGGTAACACGATCAGTTGACATTAAAGACGTCTTTTACTCCGTAGGTGATGCAAGAAAAAACGTGGCTGTATTACTCTTATTAGTGATGAAAAAATCAAAAGAACGCATTCGTTTTTTTGGGTGTTTTCTTTATTGACAAAGTGATAAAAGTAAGTAAAAACCGATAAAAAGACTGCTCCTTTAACCGATTTATCATTTACAATAAAACGTAAGTAAGGCCAGCAGCACATTTATGTATGTTCTCCTTGGATTCCACATTGTAATCTTTTTGAGAGTTTACTGGATGCAATATTTGATTCTCTATCCTATGGTATCATTTTCATGATGAATCATCCATCGAAAAAAAGGAACTAAGTACTATGATCCAGAAATTATTTACGAAATTGGAGAATAGTATTTTCTCACATCTGTTCTATAATTTATGTTGATTCTTGTAGAAATTCTTTTGAGTACAGAAATCAATTCTTTATTGAATGGTCATTTCCAAATGGTATTTTTAATCCTTAAGTAATGAGTATAAATTGATGCTAGTAATAATTTCTCATCTAATTTCTTGTGAGTTGAGACAGCACTAGAGCTCAACAGGTTCAAGATTTTTTTATGCGGCCCAAACATTTCTCTTCACTTCAATGAAATCATGTAGTCTGAATCTGAAAGTGGAATGTAGATATGTGTGGGAGCAATGGTGGACTCACATCATACATTTATATTAGTCATTTAATGCATGAAATAATGCTATCTTCTAAGATATACCTTACAAATAATTATTATATCATTTAGTAGCTGCATACTTTTTTGAATAGTAATAAAATCTATAAAAAGCTATGAAAATGTTTCGATAGCATTACATTTCAAATTGCTAGTTATCCTAGAAATAAATAAACAAAATTCGTTTAAAAAAATTAAATTAGCTCTTTAAATAATTAAATAGCTGTATAATTCTTAATAGTATCTCTTTTGAGTAGCAATCAAATTTTTCTTACTTAAGTTCGACAAATTTTGAGGAAACCACTACGTATTTTTTTGCAGTTTTTTAAAAATAGATTTGTTGAATACTGTACCATACATCATCTTAAATGATGAATTTGACTTTATATTATTGTCTTAACCTTATTTACTTGTTCAATATGAGTGACATTCCAATGTAGCGGTAATCTATTGAAAACCAGCGGCTAACTGCAGTTCTTCTAAGTACCCTTTCCCCTTTCCTATGGAAGATCCATTTGAAGGAGTGATGTGCCCGACATAATAAAAGATCCCCTATCTTAATTAATTATTTCTCAAAAAGTGTGAAATGAAAATATACAGTCAAGATTAGTAAGTCAACCATGACAATTGAACTACATTTGTGTATTTCGAAGTGTCTTTTTCTCAGATGATAGTCCTAATCTTCCTCTGCAAAATTACATATGTCGATCAGTTAGCTATAAATAGGTTTGTCATATATATCATCCATTTGCTGAGAGGGGTCGGAAGTTTTGAATCAACATTTGGTATTTTTATATTAAAATACAGTTAGTTTTCAGAGTTTGAGCTGAAAACCTTAATCTACTGAGATCACCATTATTTCTGAAATTTGAAAGCCCAAAAAATATCCTCTCAAATCCTCAAAATTGCTCTAGTTTTTTAAAAGCCCTTTTAACTGAAAATTATTCAAATAAATAGGATACAATGGAAACCCCCTGAAAAACTTGCACACTTGAACGTAATAGAAGACCTGATGTGTTCTATTACGGGGGAATTAGAATACCCTAAGTCATAATACGAGTGTTTCCAATCACGATTCGTGTTACCACTGGACACTATTTTCTACTTGATGGATTCAAGTAGAACTTGATGAACTTTACAAAGTGCACTGGTTTTGGTTCAATTTATGTTAAGTCATCATTTAAAAAAGGGTCAATAATGTTATACACATCAGAGATGTTCATTACGGTTGAAAATCTGCCTCTGCTGCATCCATCAGATTCACCATGAATTTTAACTGTTGAACTTCTAGACACTCAAATACGATGCCAATCCATGCAGTTTTACAGAACCCCTAAAAAAGAAACTGCCGCAATAGTAGTTTTGAAACATCTACCGAGCCGCGGAAGTTTTAAAAAAAGCACCGCTATAACGCCACTGGTGCCGTTATGGGGTGATGACGCAGCGACGGCAGCGCTGCTACAGACATCTCTGATATATATGTGTCGGTTACCTGTTTACCAGGAAAAAGACATTTCTCTCCTTATTGCAAATTGTCATTCGATTGGGCTTGAATAGGACATTGATAGACCAAACTAGAAAATGACGAACTTCACAAAATACACTATGTTTTGTCCAATTTCCAGAGTCATCATTTAGAAAAAGAAGATCAAACAGTTTTAGACATATACATACATCATTTGTATACTAAGAAAAAACACTTTTTCTTATTATGGTACATTATTTAATTGTATGTAAGTCTGAGTATGATGAACCCATAGAGAATCTGACGAGCTCGGCAAAATGCACTGCTATTTATTTAACTTTCAATGAGTTATCATTGAGAAAAAAGCTCATGAACCTTACACATCTATGTGCTTCATATGTATAAAACAATGTCTTTTTTATTCTACATATCATACATATAAATGCATTACGTTACTAAGCTCTTGCTTAATGATAACTCATTGAAAATTAAATAAATATCAGCGTATTTTGTAGATCTTATCAAGGTGTATTTGGGTCCATCAAGTAGAAAACGATGTCCAATGGTACTGCGAGTTGCAATAGGACATACGTGAATTATGACCTAAGTTATCCTATGTGGCTCTTCTGCTTAATTTTTTTAAAATGTCACATCGCATTAATCCTGATTTGAAGTCTCAGAAAATGCTAGAGTTCAGTCAAAATTGCAGCTCCTTGTTAGCGTGCGCGCTCTCGAGCGGTCGCTTCCATCAACATAGACTGTCATCGCTTAATTTTCGAGTTTGATTATTTAGTAAAGATGGGATTTAAAAAACAGCTACTAGTCAGTAGACTGAACCACAAGCAAAAAACAGTAGCGTCATCAGATATAATATACTGTAGCATGTTCAAATTGACTTTTCCCAGTAGCAACCGATCTCTTCAAAAAAGAAAATCTTAATTTAATGAAAAAATTAAAACAAATTTGATAAATAAAAGGAGTGAAGCGTTAGAACTGTCAATTTGTTTATGAGTTGCGGCCAATCGTCGACTTTGATGAAACACTGACGGCATGAGTTGTTTGTAAATGAAACACTTCGCTGCATTTTGATTCGATTGTTATCCCTACTTACAAGTCAGTTGTTGTTTTAAATGCTATCGAATGTAAAAGAAAATATTTGACAATTATTTGTCAAGTCGTATCAGACATGCAAAAACTTGAAAATAAAAAAGACATATCGAGAGATGATAGATAGATGATCATTAAGTGTAACGTTGCATCTCGCGAAATGATCGATTTTTGTGTAACGGTGCGGAAAAATGTTTAATTTTTAGCCTGCAATCATTCATAAACATGTATATTTAACAGAAGACAAAACTGTTTGTAAAGATGATGCATAGTCATAGTCATAGTTATAAATGTAGGAGATGAACTCATCTCGCTCACCCTTATTTTTCTCCATGTCATCTCACTAAATGCCCGATAGACAACGACATTAGAATGCTTGAAAAATGTTAGTGTTTTATACACAATTTTTGAATGGCAAGATGTATTAACTTTTCCGCGCTTAGGTGTCTGGTAAATAATCAAGGTTTTTTATTTTGCACATGAAGCCTATCTACAAGTTTCAATATTCATTAAAACATTTTCCACCATACGACAGAAATCTGAATATTTCAAAGTGAGTTTTTATAAAAAAACATCAAATTAAAATTCCGCTGAATCAGCCAAAGTAGTTTACTATTTATAAAACACTCTACTGTTCTAATTATGTTAGATTACAAAATGTTACGATGTCTTTAAGAAATTTCCTGAAGAGCTTGTATGATAGTTTCAAATGAATCAAGGTCTTTTTCATAAAAAAAAAAAAGGAACAAGTTTTATTTATTTGTTCGATTATCAATGTATAATTCTTTGCTTATCTTAGAGTAAACATGGCAAGAAACACTGATGAAGACAACCATGAACAAAAATTGCGAAATATTGTTCATTGTAATCATCAAATTCGTAATCTTGTACAAGGTAATGTCCATAAATTTCTCAGTTTGCGCGAAGAACTTCTTACTAATACGGGCATAAGAGACTTGACGGCATTCAAAGATGTTCTATCGCCTTTGATTGACGGACCACGTATTGAACAACTAAAGTCGTGTATTATGTCAGACAAAGCTCACATAGCACTTTGTGGTGAGAATTCAAGTGGTAAAACAGCATTTTTACATGCATTTTTGGGCATTGGTAAAATTCTACCGTCTGGTGATGGCCCTGTTACAGCGCGAATTACAAAACTTACATATGCTTCGAGTGAGCAAGCATGCATCCGCATTCGAAAAACGCTTCGAGATCAATCACTCGCTGAAAACGAAGTGGATCTTTCGACTTTTTTTGCTAGTGAAAAACCTCATTGGACTAATGTCGGCCGCGCTCTCTCAAAACACGTTAAACGACCACAAGGCATTGATGAAACTTCACATGAATTTGCCGAATGGGCACGATGTGTTGTAGAAATTCATATTCCATCACCAACATTGGCTTTAGGAATCGACGTGTACGATACACCTGGTTTTCTTTTAGACGATGCTCCAGTTCTTAAAGAAATTTTACATGATCTGGTCGAACTGATTCATCCTACAATAGTCTTTATGTATAGTAATCCGTCTACGGACGATGCTACGAAAGGTTGCTTTTTAGCAATGAAAACCGCCTTGTATGACTTAGATAGCACTAGTATTTTCTTTCTGAATTCAAAAGCAGATTTAAATCAAATGCCAAAATTCAAACAAGGTATGGCAATAGACGAATTTCTTACTACATTAGCCGATCAACGAGCGCAACGCTATAATTTGTTGTTGCGTGCTCCTTTTCTTGCCAATGATAGATTGGATGGTTTGCCTGCATCAATTGGCGAATGCCATTGTTTCGGCATATGCAGTGTCAATTCACAATTGATTAAACCATATGGTCCGCTAATGAATGAAACTACTATTCAACATATTATCCAATTTGTAGGCAATAATAATTTAGCGGTCGCGACACGTGTATGTAAAGTAGTATTGCCCATCATCAATGCGTTTTTTAATCTGTTACTTTTAACAAGATATCGCACACCGGAAAGATTAGTACAACTGCATTATGATGCTATGAATTGGGAACGAGATTATTTTCAGGCATACACAATATATACAGAGAAAGGTTTGGAAGATCTTTTTTCGAATATATTTCAACAATTCAATACAGAAGAAGACTTTATTGTACAAGAAGTTTTAAAAACGCATGCTCCTCCAAATCTTTTCGAGCTTGCAATATTAACAGCTGTACATCTTCAAGTTATTAAACCAGCCATTCGTGATACTCTTCGACAATTCATGGGCTACGTATTCGCACATATAGCATCACATTGTGATCTAACGCGCGGTGCAGCTTTTAATGAAATCTTGATCGGAGCATTAGGCAGGCAAGACATAAGCGATTTTGCAGCTTCTTTACTTGATAATCATCCTATACAAAAAACTATTCGTGCTAGCACATTATACATGATGAACACAATTTCAACACCGTTTTTAAAATGCGCTCAACATCTGCTAAATTTGGATTTCTCTCATGAGACAATTAGTATGACACTGTCAAAAAACATCAAAGAATTTCATGAAAATCAAAATTGTGATACTAAACGAGAATTAAATGATATTGTTCGTAAATATTTACTGAACGTGCAAAAAGTTATCAAAAATCAACAAAATACAATGTGGCAAGCAGTGAGACTGTGGGGAGATCAGCAAGAAGCTATTCTAAGATCGCTCATTGACATTCATTATGAAAAAGCGTGTCCTCTAATTGATTCTCATCAAGAAACACTTAATCGTTTACAACAATATGTTTGGCGTTTTATTGTGACTGAATGCGGACTTTGTGCAGCGCAAGATATGGCAAAGTTTAATGGTAGCATACCTGAAATTCGTAATGGTGATTCTAAATCAACTATGTTCAGTATATTTACTGCCGACTGGGGAGACGAAAAAAATTTAGTTGTGAAAAAGCTTAGTCGGTCTCTGCCGGATCAACCGATTGCAGCTTATTATGAAGCACATTATCATCGCGAAGTAGCAAATTTATGTCATCCAAATATGGTTAACATTCGCTATCTTTATGAGTATCGTCTTGATAATCAAACTTCTGAGTTATGGATGATCTTTCCACCATTGATGCTTACTTTGGAACAATTTTTACAACAGTTTTTGGCATCACTTTCGATCACAACGGTCCTCAAATGGATGAATGATATTGTCGATGCGCTCATGGCTTTACATCAAAATGAACTTGTTCATCGAAACGTCGTGATGAGCAACATTGTCCTTACTGAAGATAAACGGGCTCTGTTAATTGACTTAGGCGATTGGTACGAAGATTGTGATCTCAGTGTGCGTCATGATCCATCATCGACTTTCAACGGAACGAACGATGACATAAAAGGATTTGGTACACTCGGACAAATTCTGAGTTCTTTCATTGAGCAAGATGAGAATGTGTTAGCAATCATTAATGAATTTAATGAGTTAATGTTAACATGTTCTCAGGCTACTCATGAGAAACCTGTAACGACTGAATTCGTTCAGCAGAAAATTCAGTTCATGCTAGATATGTGATGAGTTCCTATTTCTTTTTTCCAATTTTAGATGTCTTCGACTAACAATGAACAAGTTAAAGCCTCACTCACGTGTGCTCATCAACTCAAGACAAATGTTTGTTGTGCGGCTGAAGAATTTAAACAGTTGCGCACGAAATTACTACAAAATCTACGAATTATAAAATCGAAACACGTAAGAATGTTCGTCATTTTCCATAAGATATAGAGTGAATTTGAAGGTTCTAAAATGCGTTACAATTTGTTCTGAACGTCAAGAGGAAGCATAGACAGAAATTGGTTGATTAACGGTTGTGAGGTATGAATTTCAGATCTCTTAAACACTCATGACTCAATGCTGAAGTACCTTGTTTATAGAAAAAAATCTCAACTTCCGACAGAATAAAAAAAATGTTTCTTACACAAAGAAACAAACCGAACTTCTATGATAGCTTCAAGATTGTTCGAATCGTTGCAGAAGAATAGATGCTTTTGATTTTTTTATTCCTGTTAATCTCAAGATTGAGCAAAGGTTTTTTCTAACAATGAGAGTTGTTTTCAACGTTTTCATCAAATAAATATCGTTCTAAAATTTTAGCAATATTGTTAGGAAAATATTCAGGCTTTTTATATGGCAGGCAATTTCAGGCTTACATGAATTCTGGTTTTTTTAAATTGTGTGATACTCATTGTTATTTTAGTATCAAGTTTGCTTTAGAAATCAATAGTATCTCGACTGTTTAGGATAACACGGATCCTCAATGCTCGCTATCAACAATAGCTATTGATTCCTGTTTTGATGGAGATGGTAGTATTGACGATCATTTCCAGCAAGTGTCCGACACATTGTTGGACGAGCATAGTATCATGAGTAGGCCCGCTCTCGTCGTATTTGGACCAAACTCGAGCGGAAAAACATCGTTTATTCAGCGCTTTCTCGGCATTGGCAGTATCCTACCTTCGGGTATAGGGCCTGTAACAGCACGTATCGTTCAACTCACATATGCATCAGCTGAACAAGCATGCTTTTGCGTTTATGAAACAATTGAAAAGACAATGGTTCAATACAGAGGTGATTTGTCGTATTTCTTTAAAAACCAGCTACAACCGAATTGGGAAGGTATCACTGATGCTATACTACCTCATGTTAAACGACCTACCAATATCGATGAGAGTTCACCGGAATTCGATGAATGGGCCAAATGTTTTGTTGAAGTCTCGTTGCCATCGAATGTTCTTTCGTTGGGTATTGATATCTACGATACACCAGGTTTTCTTTCTAACAATCGTGAACAAGTATTAACTGATAATTTGCATAAACTCGTAAAACGCATCAAACCAACTCTTGTCTTTCTTTACGATAATGCTACTATCAGTGATACCGATAAAAGTTGTTTTCTAGCCATGAAAAACGCTCTAGGTTCTATGGAACGTGTGTCAGTATTTTTCTTGAATACCAAAGCCGATTGTATATCGATTGCTAATGACTATTTGCTTGATGATGATCCTGATAACGTACCAGAAGATCTCTTCTGCGATACACTACGTGAAAAACGTCAACACTGCTACGAACTCCTTCTTCGGCGACGTGAAATGGCAAGTGAAGTACTAGGTCGTTTGCCTGATTCGGTAGATAAATCTACATGTTTTGATATTTGCACGATTCCAGGTAATTTTGATCCATGGGAAACATATACAAATTTGATCAATGCCGCCAGCTTTCAACGTATAGTTGAATTTGCCGTCGAATCCTATTCTGCACCAACATTAGCATTAGCACGAGACATACTTGCTACTGTTGATGATTATTTCGATTTGACTGTTTCAGCAGCAGTTCGTTTGCCAAACCAGTGGAAGACTTTGTATGATGAAGCCATAGAATGGGGCCGTAATTTTTTTGAAGAATACGAGAAAGTACTGCCAACGCTTACTGATGATTTAGTTACAAACATTCTGCATCTATTTGAAGACCTAAAACCACAAATCGCTCACCAAGCTGCTTTGATCATACGTACTGATGATCCTATTGATGCATTACTACAAGACAATGGTAAAACAATCACAAACTATATCCGATTAGCCGTTCAAGAGCAAGTTATTAAGGTGGCGGCAAATAATGTAATTATTACCAGACGAGACGAAGTGAAAAACCTCATTGCCAGTCATTTTCAACAACAGCGTGGTATACGTAAAAATGAACTACTTACTATTGCCCAACGACAAATATTAAGTGAGATCTCAGCCGACGTATTACAACAAAATACTTTATTCAATATTTTTCTTGATAATATCATTAAATTACCTATGAGGTTTATGCGTTTCTGGCGCAGTTTACCCACGCGTCTTAGTGCTTATCAAAAAGATCTATACAATCGACATATTCATGGAAAAATAACACACGGAGACGATGATGTATATCAGCTACTTGATGCTATGGATGCTTATGCTACTTTGTCGAATGAAACTAATCGACGAACTTTTGCAGATTATTGCTTGACAAAGATCGCAGACGAACTTGGACAACAAAAAGGAGCATTCGGACGTAATTTAATCGTATGGATAGAAGTACAAAAAGAAGCATTTAATAAGATTATCACATCGGATTATCAGTATATTACAAACCATCTATCTGGTCAGCAGGCACTTCATAATCTTATTTCTCAACTTTCTGGTCCTTTTGCCAGCGTTGAATGTCACTTATTGGCCACTGTAGAACTTGTTAAACGACGCGCTGTACGCCCTATCATAAATGAAGAATTAGGAAGAGGTGGCTTCTACAGCGTGCATGCAGCTCAATGGAGTACGGAAAATAATTTAGCTGTAAAAAAGCTACTTCATCCATTAACCGACAATGAGTATATGGTTGCTCTAGAAGCGCATTATCATCGTGCAGCAACACGTTTATGTTCAAATTACATTGTTCCACTTCTTTATTTATATGAGAACAATATAAACGATAATCAACAAGAACTATGGCTCATAATGCCAAAATATTCTATGTCTTTGAGAGATTATTTGAGACGACATATTCATGAAATATCTTTTGCCAAAGTTATCAGTTTTGCACTGACAATTGTCAAAGCACTGGCTGAGTTTCATCGCCTGGAACTTGTTCATAGAGATCTTAAAGCTAGCAACATTATGCTTGATGACAATGAACAATGCTACATTATGGACTTTGGTACGGCTAAATTAGGATTGTCCAATCAAACTCTTCTAGGCACAGCTCCATTACCACCAGAAATGATTGCCATACATGTTCAACAGCAAACAGGCACTGTCGCTTATGATGGAACCGCAGCCGACATCTTTTCTTTCGGACTTCTTCTCTATGAAATGTTACCTAAACCTACTTATGAACGACTTGATTCTAATGCACTCTTACATCTAGAACAAATCCTTCTCTCAAACCAACAGTCTGACATAAATACAAAAGCTTATGAAGCTCAAATTCGTGCATGTCTTGATAAAGAGCCTGCCAAACGACCGAGTGCAATTAAATTGATTTCTGAACTGACGCGCATTCAGCATAGAACTGAAGTTAAACCATGCATGGTATGTGACGATCGGGAACGTGCATTACGTTTCGTACCTTGTGGACATAAAGTAATTTGCGCTCAATGTTGGGAGTCATGGTGTGCTACGTCGAATGGCAATGGCCGATGCATTCTCTGCAAAGGAATCGTTACAGGTCAAACACAGGATGATAGCAATGCCACATATTACCTGCAGTGAGCCTAGAAGATGCATTCTGCAAAGTGTTTCACACATTATGACTGGTCAGGCTATTCTACCAATGTAATTAGAAATGACTGAACTACGTACAAAACAATTTTATGTGAAAATATTCTATGATGTTTTGCCTTGTTTTTCTCCAGTGATAAAGTTATTCATCACTTATTTTGAAACTTCAAAAGAAAAATCAGAAAGTAACAAGGTTATTGACGCAAATAAAAACTATAGTACCGTGTCACGATCATCAATTAATTCCTATGTCCGATGAAGTTCTTCTATTCTTCATACAAGTTAGTTCTTTCTGAGTTATTCTTTAACCATGTTATTGCTGCCTTTCAACATGCATGTCAATGATTCTGGCGCTTCGATCAGTGCATTTTCGACAGATTCTGACCCAAAAGACTCCGTTCCAGGATGGAAAACCCGGGAAAATGATAGGAACTTAAAAGCTGGAATCCGATGATCATATTCGATGCTAGTTTTTTTTTTCAATTTCAGTCATAACCTACGGTAATCGAGCACAGACCATCACCAAATCCGATCATCGGATTTCTGTTTTCAAGCTTCCATAATTATCCTGAGTTTTCCGACAGAAGAAGGTCTGCATTTCTTGATCCGGACACTTATGCTTAAATAGACATAATTATTATTTAAAATCACTTTCCGCCTTTTAATAAATATTTGCCAGCTTCTGTTAAATATATTTTAGCTATTCAAATTTGAATTTTCGAAGCTCAATTACAGTGGGCATAGATGAGAGAGTGAGATAGAAAATACTGTGGTTGTAAAGTATAGATATGAGCATCATTCGATTTGAAGTAGTATTGTTTTATACTTAACGTTCATTTGATTAAACCAAATTAGACGAAATGAAAATTTCTGAAAAATGTCGTATTTTCAAATTTAATCTTGAAGAATCGATAAATAATGTTAGGAATTCATCTATAACTATGAATGGAAATTATTTACAAGAAATACCTAAGTATGTCATAGCTTGAATTATGAATAACAGACTAATTTAAAGATTGTTTAACACAATGTTATATAAACTTCAGTATGTCTACAATGTTTTAGTACATTAGCTATTGTTGTGTAATATTTCAAAAAAAAACCTTGTTTATGCTGTCCTTAATAGACTGTAATGTGGAACTCAGATACCTTTTTCAGCTCTATTATACTGATACGAAAAATGGGTAACGAAATAAATTGCTAATCGATGATGATTTCTTCTCAACATTCATTAATCATCAGAGATGTGTTCGATCTAATTCATTTCTACATTTCAAATGCAATGTATCTTTTGTATCAGTTTTTACTAATCCTCTATCATCTTATTTATCTTGTTACTATGCGTTAAGTAATTAATTGCTGTTATTCTTATGTTTTTTTTTCTAATTTAGTATTTTTTGTATCATTCTTTGCATTGACTTGCCTGTAGTATTAACTTGTATTATGCACTTTAGGTGATCGCATATTATATATCAACATACATTATACTGTATTTTAATGAAGTCTAAAACACACACAGATTTATCATTTCCATGTCAATTGTGGTAGATTGGTCATTGAAATATTTAATTACGTCAAAAATCAGAAAGCATACCATGTAGCATGTTCAAACGTATATTACGGCTAATTAAAGTTCGAAAACTCTAGAAGGTTCTTAGGATAGAAAAAGAGCTGATATCTGTTAAATCCTGTTGCTAAGCAAGGACATTTAAATGTATCTTTGTTCAGTTATTAATAGTAATTATAAAAACTCAAACAAAAGACTAAAAATTTAATATCAATAGCTATAAAAAACATATACAATGACTATTGGCGTTGTCAGAGTTCCGGTTTCATATGATTTTATTAGAACACTTGAAATCGATGCAATAAATGTTACACATAATGTTTCTAAGTATTTTATTATTGTTGGTATAGTTCTTATAGTCGAGACTCTTGTAAACCGTACAACCACTCAAAGAAATCCTAAACTTTAACACGAACAACCATCGATAATCACGATCATTTAATAAAAGTCAGAAAATCTTCTTCTGTTCATGTTGGTGTTGTTGGTATTTTGGGATAGTCATGAGTGATCGCGTGGTTTGGAAGAGCCTTTACAATAAGTATGCTATGTAGATCGGCGACAAGTTATGTTCAATGGTACATAAATGAATGATTATTTCAATCGATTATATGTGATAATTGAATAATTGTTAGTAACTGTATGTTGATGACAAAAATGATAAAATACGTAGCTCTATTTCAGAAACCGAATAACTAAATCTATCTTTTACATTTTCAATCTTAAGTACTGTAGCTTCGAATTGTAAACATCGTAATTATTTTTTTTAAAAGTACTATGATGTCATAGTATATATAAGTTTTTTTCGAGTTTTTAGTTAATCATTTTAGAGCGTGTTAATCTCAAGAACTCATAATAATTATATTCAAATTAAAGCTTTCTCGAGATATAGAACATGATAAGAATGTTTTATAAACTCTATTTAATAATTCAATGATCTGAAAATGAATAAAACATCTGTTGTAAACTGATGGACGGCTATTCTTTTTTTTATTGATGTCATTAAAAAAAAAATATGCAACTATTCTTAGAATATTCAACAGCGCATTGACATATAATCACTAACCGCAAAAAGTCGTACATTTTATAGAATAATATCTTAATTCAATGACATGGTAATGAATCTTGTTGAATATCTACGGAAAACTATGCTATACATTCAGTTTTAGTGGATACCGAACACTAATGTTCTATTCCTATTGAAAATAAATCTAACTTCCACAACAATAACAAAAAATACAATCAACAAACCTCGCTCACTACTCTGTTTTTTTAACAAATTGATTGTCTACCAACTAAGTAATGTATGCATTTTTTTAATCAATTCGTTCATGATTAGAATTTTATTTCTTTATAATTAATTTACTCCATAGAGATACATAATCATTCTATGATGATGAATCACTACGTAGCACGAATAAATCAGCATTCTTAATAAATAATACAGTAATAAAAGAATGTTATGTTATCAATGTATGTAATTGTGCTTATCGAATTTATTCTTTTTTTAAAAGACTAATCCTTCAATAAAAAAAAAAACAATACACTTTAATTCATATACATGAAAGGAAAAAAAAAACAGAAGTTAACCACTCCATTTTTGTTTTGCATTATTATTCATAATTCGTCGTCGATATACTGAACATACACGTTCACATTCTTCTCGAGATGAAAAACGATTTTGATTACCACCACAACCACCCCATATAAAAGTTTGACATGAACGTGATTGAGTATTAAAATAATATTGTTCAATGCTTGCATAACATAGACCAGGATCTGGTCTCAATTGACAAACATAAATACCATTGATCATTGGTGGTCTTGTCGTATAGATTCCACCATTGTTTCCTATTCAAATAAAATTTAAAAAAAAATAAAATGAAACAAAAGAAAAATATACTTACCGGGATAAATTGATGGACCGACTTTTTTCATGACAACATTAATAGGATTGATGGGAGCTGGTATTAATCGAACCGGTGTATAGCGATCATTAATATAAAGTAATTGACCATCTTTTTCAATACGAGCTTGAATAGCATATTGTTGAATATTATTATTAGATTGTATCTGTGCTATTGAATATGAAATTTCATATGCAATAGGAAAACGATATGATCCGTAAAGAACAAATGTATTAATAGGACGAGCTGCTACATCTTGAATAGAAACATCTGCTAGATATACAGTTATCTGTGAACCATATGGCAATACAGATGTATCATCACTTAAAAGATTTCCTCGCACACTTGCTCGATCTAAAAATGAATTTAATGATATGAATTATTTAATAATTGATGTCTTTTTATTTGCATTTACTTGTTTGTATTCCTTGATTCCATGTTGGATAATTCGGTAAAAAAGATGACCAACTATTAAAATTATTCAATGGATATTGTTGTTTAGGATAATTATATTGTGTATTTACAAGTGAAATGAATAGAAATAGAATAATAGATAACATTTTTAATGAAGTTTATGTCTATTGGTGTTCAAATTATGCTTTTTATATTAATCTTTATCTAAATGTCATGTTCTATTTTTTTTCCGATTCAATAAGCATAAAATAATAAAGAAAAAGAGTAGATCGATTTTAACGTCAAATCACTGACATATATTGGTATTATTGTTGGTGTATAGATGAAGATTGATATACCTCGAATTCCATTTGTCTGTAATAAAAGACAATAGGTCATAAAAAAATGTATATGTAACTGTGACTTATTCATATGCTATTGGTGCCATTGAAAAAAATTTATATGAGCCAATTGTATTGACCTTATAATATGCATTAGCAATATGATTGAAGTTTTATTTAAGAAGTAAATTTATAAACAATATTTGATTGCATGATACATGCAATTGAAATAATTTCATAAATAGTCTCTGGTTTTAGATATGTGTATATCTTCAAAGTACCGATTTATCAAAGAGATAATTAACAATCAACATTTCATTGTTCTTTTTTTTTTTCTTTCATAAACAAAATTGTTTTAATATAAATAATTAGACTTTAATAAATTATTTACATATAAATTGATTGAAACCAAACTTCACAAAAATATTCAATAAATTACATAAATAGAACAGCTTTGACAAAAAAACTAAATGAAACTATTGAACCAATTGTAAGACCAACTATAAATGTTATCAATGACCATCGAATAGCTTTTTTATAAAATGTTGATGCTTCAGCATAAAATCCTTGACTATGTGTTCGTACAGCACGTATAGCATAAAATAAAGCAATAAGTCCTAAATAAAAATCAAACATAATCGATATTATTCATTATGAATGAATATTAAATTTCGTATTCATTCGATAGCGTACCTAGAATAGGACAAAATAATGATGATATACAAGCACAAGCTAAACTTCGTACTGGATGTTTTGCATCTTCAATTTCATATGATCGTTGTCGATCTTCTTTATAGAATTAAAGAAAAAAGATTCATATTTAAATATTCAAAATTTTTACCTCTATCATGATTTAAATCTCTTGTACTTGTAAATTTTGCTGATGATGTACATCGATGACCAGTTGGTGTTGTTGCAAGTGCTCGAGAAGCAAACATTCTATTTAAATAACAAAACAATAACAATCAACTACGAAGACAATGTCAAAATAGAATATCAAAAGATCATACGAGTATAGATACTCATGAAAGAAAGAGTGAATCTTGCACACATATAATTTTTGTCTCCAATCAGTCAAGCAGTAATGATGATAAAAGAGTAGAAATAGAAAAAAAAACGGAAATAAGAAAAAAAAAACGTAGTTTCTGCTTGTCCTTAAGGAATACGAAAAAAAAAATCATTGTAACATCTTTGCTTGAATATATCTCAAGAGAGTTTCAGAGAAACAGAGCCGACTAGACGTTACCATAATGCATACACATAATAAATATCTGTTGTTTTTTTTTCCTAGGAAAATAAGAAATATATAAGATAGTCTAATAAAAACAGATAAAAATTTTCTCGATTTAGAAGTATAAATTTTAGTTTCAACAAATAGAAAAACAACAATAAAAATTGATTCAAGTATTTTTATTACGTCAATGAATAAATGGAACGAGACAATGTCAAATCAGGAACACACACCGGAATTAAAATCACATCCGCTTTATATAATTGCTTGACAAGCTTAATCATAGGATCAACAGCCTAGTCTATATTTTTCTTCGCTTAAGGGCAGATTCAGATATCAAGGATATCTTACACATGGTATCCATATATCACTATTACAATTGATTCTCTATATAACTAAAACCAAATCAGTACACAACGATCAATCGTACATGGGATTTCGGCATATTTTATTGATTGTCTGTGTTACAATGAGAAAAGCAAACGATAAAATAATAAATAAAAGACAATAGTTTTTTTTATGTATGAGATAGAGACCGATTGATGGCAGTTTTTCTTTATGAGTAGTCTAATAATACGCTGATATTTATCGTGTTGCATAAATCATGATATTGTATATAAGTAAATATTTACTAACATAGTCATTTTCTGTATTTACAAGTCAAAGATATCTTCAAACCTGATTGATTTAATAATTAACATTTATGTATTTTTGTTAATCCTTTTCTTTCTTCAATAACCAATACAGAAAAGAAAAACAAACAAAGAAACACACAATACAAATTCTCATAGATCAATAGTTTATAAATAATTTTCTTTGAAAATTATTCTTGGGATAATTGTTGATAGAATTTAAGTGAACGATCCATGCTTGAACTTGCTACATAATTTGCATTTGAACCAAATCGAACACCAGTTGCTAAAGCTGTATGATCATTAAATACTTTAAGTAAATCCCATTGTTTTGCTTGATATACTCTATTAACAAAAACAAAATTAAACCTAAATAAAACAAAAATTCATTCGTTTACCGAACATCAGTACCAGCTACACCAAGATACATTCCACTTTGATCAAAAACAAGATCACGTACTTCATAACGATCTTCAAGTGTAATAGTTTTAAAATTTTTTAATTTACGTAAATCCCATAATTTAATTGATGCATCTTCAGCTGCAGTTGCCAAATAATAACCTTTCAAAAAAAAAAGATAAACAAATTGAATTTTTATAGTTCTTTGAAAAATAAAATCAATATTCTACCATTTTCGGAAAATGCAATAGCATTAATACTTCCGGCATGACCAGGAAAATCAGCAACATTATTACATTCTTTTAAATCCCAAATTTTAATTAAACTTTCATGTGTACCAATACCAAATATAATACCATCAGGATGAAATTGTGCACATGTTAATCCTAAATAAATAAAATAATGGATAGATCGAACATTTCTTTATTTTTCAATCGATTAAAAATGTAAGAACAGAAGCAGTTACATAAACAGATTCCGAATATAGAAATTCTTTGCGACTAAACATCTACTGCAGGGTAAAAAAAAAAGTTGCTGCGATTAATATCTCTAACCCGGAGAAGAAAAATGTAGCCACATCTGTTTCGCTATTAATTTCCTGTTACAGTTCTGGTCGTTATGATTAAGTGAACATGTTGTTCGAGATGCGTTGACAAGATACTGTTTTCAAATGTTGATATCGCCAGCTCAATATCATGCTGACTACGTTGTGACATACACATGCTCTTTTGATTAGCCGAAGTGTACTCAGAACTTTGCATCAGACTGGTCTTCTATCGAAAGCTACAACTGGTATTTGTTGTAGGGAAGATAGTGGATTATTGAATCTGTCACTAGGCAGCATCTTATTCTGCCATGAAACTGAAAGGTAGAAGTATTCTTTCTTCCTTCTTGCAGTAATTTTTCTTGTTTCAATCGTAAAGGCGTCCGATTTAGCTCGGCTTTACATCCTTTTACGTACTTAATTGAATCATGTTGTCAAATCTCTTAGGCTCAGTATCGAGACAATATACGTTCTTCTCTAAAATAATGTTACTTACTGAATATTTTCTATTTCTGACTTTTTACGTCACCTAAAGGATAGATAATCCTCTACAAAGTGAGCTAACCAGGAAACTAGTTTAAGTGAGATATGAAAAACTCTAGAAGGATGAATGTTCTTACAAGGAAGCTACTCAAACTGGCATCCGTTGTTTGAGCTCATATTAAATCCACAGATAGGCCTCAATGAAACTAGCACAACCTTTGAATAGTTCGTCCCAAAGGTCTTCGGCGTTGAGTTATAATCAGTTTACTGGATTTTCATCCCATATGCCTACTTCTTAACGAACCAAATAAGAATGTTTGTCCAAAAATACGTATAGTAACTGTTACAATATTCCAACAGTTTCAGTCACAAAGAATTTTCAAGTAAGTTCGATTATTTATGATCTTTCAGAAACCTCGGAAAGGGAAGGATTCTCTCAAATACAGTTCCCTCGTAAGAGCCAAGAACGTCGAAAATATGGCTCCGTAAATAAACTGTTTGTTCTTTCCTTGGACGTATTTGAAATTAGTTGTACTGCCAATCGCGTTCCGAAGATTCACTCATAAGTTCGACAAAAAAAGATTCGAAAACAGCACAAAAAAATCTGTTTATCCATAAAAATTATAATTTTTCATACCTCTTTGTGAAGTTGTATCTTGAACTTTAGTTATTAATTTTCCAGTGCGTAAATCTGATAAAGCCCAATAAGTATCATTTGCACTTGATAAAACATAATCACCAGTTGGATGAAGTGAAAGGCCAGTTATTGGATTTTCATGTGCTTTAAGAATTTTAAGACATTGTGCTGATGGAATATGCCAAACACGAATACTTGAATCTGAACTTCCTGTTATTGCAATATCCTATAGAAAATAGAATGATTGAAATTTTCAATTAACTATATCTATTATTATATATAAATATATACCTCTTCAAAATGATGAATAACATGTGTAACTTTTTTTTGATGACCTTTTAATGTTGCAATAACTTGTTCATTATCTTTATTAAATACAACAGCTTGACGATCATTACCACCTAAAAAAAAGAAAACAATAAGTAAATATATTTATTAGTTCAATTTTGAATTTTTAGGCATACCAGTAAGAATAATACTGGAATTTTTTGGTGATATATCAAGAGCTAAAATACCCGGATTACTAGCACTATGTAATGCCTAGATAGACAATAAAATTTATATTTAAATATAAATAGTAGAGTTTTACGAACAGTATGTGTTGCTGAACAACGAAAATTTCTCATATCATCAATATTTGTTAAACCTTCTGGTACACGTTTACCACGTTGTTTACGTAATTGTGTTAAAACAGATGCTTTATCTTGTAACTAATTGAATATAAAATTTAAATAAAATTTTATGAATAAAATCATTTATTTTATTTACTTTTTGAATAATTTCATCAGTCATTCCTTCAGCTGTTGATGCTGATATTTGAGTATTCTCACCACTAATGCCAGCTGCTGCATGATGTGAAATTTGTGTTGATTGTTCATGTGGATACTGTTAAAAATTTATTTATTAGAATAATATTTACGGCATATTAAAATTAGTGACAGAGACTATTTAATTTCTTATAAAAAACAAATCTTTAACTTTCTCTTGGATCCGATAGTAAAAACAATATTCTACATTTTTTTTATCATATTTGATCATTCTTCAACTAATATCATAATTATGAAATTTCTATATAAACTATTCGTTATGATATGTAACCACGGCGTTTTAATCCATTGATTTTCACCATTTTCTTCAATCTGAATGTAGGGATAAACTTTTGAACATCGCCCTAGATAGTCGTTTAGCCAAAGACTATAAATCAGTAACGTGTAGGGTTCACAATCAGGAGGGCCTTTCATTCCCCTTGAAAATGTTCGACTTTCTGCTAATATTTTTTGCAGCTTTGTGGTAACTTCGGACAGAAACTGAATTTCGAAAAGAACGACCCAGGGCAGATCATCTGATGTGGAAGGAGCAGAGTCAAGGTATGTTTTGTTCTGCCGCTATTACCACTTCTAAAAAAATATCACTAATTCTGATAACGTCTCGTTACAATATCCGAACTACTTCCTTATTTCATATATGAAGGATTAAGTAACAGTATTGTGAAAAAAATGTGTCACAAAATAGATAGAATAACATTATTCCCCTATGATTAGCAAGAACAACTGTGTCGTGTTTCACACTGCAATCCTACTAGGATTGCGCTGACAGCTTTTATCTTCGATGTAGAACTATAGAAACAAGATTATATCTCATTGAATTCATGAACTTGTTTATTTTACAATGCAACGATTTGAGATCACTTAGATTTTGTTTGATTAAGTTGAATAATCAAAAAAGTACATAATCCCACATTCGAAGAAATACTTTAAGTAAAAAACTTGATGAACTTGTCTCTGTATTTGTTCTACCGGCACCATTTTTTTTACTATACCCTCATATGTATAGACGGCTGGGCATTAGAGAAGACGAAAATGTGAACGAACATTATCGTTCACATATGAGAGAAAATTTCTTTAAGAAATTAAAATATTTTTGTCACTACTCTTGATATGCACTAAGTAATTAAAAACTAACGAATATTTAAGAAAATTAATATCTATACATACAATTGGTATTGTTTGTGAAATACCAGCTTGAGGTTTAAGTGTAGCTAAAGCTTCACGAGCAGCTGTTACTTCTTTATTTAAACGTGCAATAACACGACAAGCAGCATCATGTTGATACATAACATGTGAAAGTTCTATTTTAAATATACAATTAAAAATGTTTTCTTTTCTTATGTATAATCAAATAACAAACCTTGTCGTGCTGTTTGTAATTGTTGACGAAGTGTAAAACTATGTAACATACAAGCATCCCATTCATCTTGTAACATTTTAAGTATAGCTGGAATACTTGTAGCTGATGGTGGTTTTGGTTTACTCAATGGTGTAACTTAAAAGTAAATAAATAAATATAACAAGAAATAATTATTTCTATATACCTTTAACATCAATCAATTGTTCTTCTGTTAATGGTTGTCCATTGATTGGATCTGTTGGAGATTCATGAAGATATTTAAGAATTAAACGTTTTTCATAAATACAACCAGATACAGGTGAAAGAACTGGATATTCTGGAACTTCATTTGAAACTAAAATTAATCAATATAGTAAATAATTAATTTATAAAGAAGAGATGAAAAATAACATACGAGAACAAATAAGTGACATGATTGGTAAGTTTTAAGTATTTCAAAAGAATAACACAAATGTCGTAATCTGAAATAGAAATCAATAATTTGAAATAAGTATAGACGATATTTCTCTACAAGCTTCAAATCGCTTTGTCAGAAGTGAATATTGGTCACAGCTTTTTTTTTTATCGAATATTCTATATTACTGGCACTAATGGCTAACTCAACTCTTGTATTTTTCAATAAAAAACCATAATCGAGATTGATTGAAATGCAAATATATCATTTAAAAATCAAGAAAAATACAGTACAAAATCTTGTGTAATTATATAAAAAGGTCACATACAAAAACATCTAGATAATTGAAGTGAAAAAAAAAATTTTATGATGAACAATGGATCAACAATGACCAATATTATTACTGGTTAAAAAGTGAACGATACATTTATATATTTGTTCAAACAAATTCTTTTATTTTAAAATCTTGAAAATATTATGAATAATTTTTTATTTCAATCAAAAGAATAATATCAATCATCAACAGATGTCACTTGTCTACATTGATTTAGATATAGGGACGATAAGAGTTAAACATATTTGAACATTCGAACGCTTGTTCTGAATCTTTGCAAAGTTTTAATGTTAAGTGAATTTTAAAGTATTAAATATCAAAATTTCATGGTGTTTCATGATACACGTTGGTTTTAGTGATGGAACAAGGAGAAAGGGTTTGAAGGGAACTCAGACCCGTTCCAGAAACTTTAAGCGTCTGTTAGAAATGTGATGCTTCTGCATTGTAACAGAAGAACATACCTCGTTTTCTATATGAAACGTAGGGTGAATTTCTTCCTAGAATATCTGACTCCACTACTTAATTGTCAGCTTAGTGGCGAGTTTTGTCTTTCTTGAATTGCATGGAGCCACTTTCAATAATGAATGAAGTATATGAACCGTAAATGTATATTTTATTTTTTTTTGTCTAATATGCAATGATAACAAGGGATTCGATATTTGAATCGGACATGATTCGGAAAAAATGAACGACTCATGTTTAGATAAAATCCGACTTTCTAAAAGTGTCAAAACCTAGTAAGAAGGATTCTGTCAAAATCTAACAGGTTCTTATTTGAATTCTTAGGATTCGATAGAACTCAACGGAGATATGTTTAATCTGGATATGCATTTCATTTCCTCTTCTCGTACGCTTAGTTAACGAACTGTGATTCGATAGAACAACTTATGGTCTTTCTAAAAAAAAGAATGTTTTAGCATCGAACTGTGAACGATGTCAAAGAGGAAAATTTTTGACCGGATGTTCTTTATGGATGCCTGTCATGATTATCATTTTTAAAATTATGGAAAAATATTCTGACAAGAACTAAAGTTGATTTGTCTAGCATTACCAAAAACCTTCATTTCATTGATATCTAGAAAGAACTAATATCTAACCACATTACAGAAAAAAAAAACTGATTGATATAATGAAAATTCTAGAATAATAATAATAATAGTTTATGAATATAACAGTATCAATATTCTTGTTTAGGATCAGCTGGTACCACTGGAGCAACAGTTCTTTGTCGACGTGCTTTAATTTTACGCCATACTATTCGCCATGAATGAAAAAATCGAACGTCAATTGTAGCAACAAGAATTGGATCCATTGCAATTTCTATATAATTAAGTAACGAAGTATAAATACCAGGTTGAGTATTAACATTTATAAATTGAAAAGCAAGTAAATTTGGACTCCATAATGCAAGCCAAATCGAATAAAATATAATTGTTTGAGTTAAAAGAGTTCGTTTATATTTACGACGAAGATTAATTATTTGTTGACTACGAATACCTCTTATGGAACTTACATGACGAATACAAATCCCAATAATAATAAGACTAAGTGTAACTGGAATAATATAGACGAAGAATAAATTAAATATCTGAACAGATAATGATACATATTGTATATCACAAGCTTCGCCTGCTTTACGCCACAATTGAGTCCAATCACCAAGAAATTGTATGATGACATTAAGTGCTGGTAATATATAAATCAATAGATGAGTTAAAATAATTAAACGAGGATTTTGTACAAAAACGTTTCGATTAAAAATAATTTGTGCACAACGGCATACATTTAATGCTAATAAAATATAACTTTGTACGGTATTTGTATAAAATTTTGATGATGCTTCCCAATAACATAAAATCATGCGAAGTGTTGGATATAAACATACACGCCAATGACGCATACTATACATAATAAAAAATCGAGTTAGAAGAAAAAAATCCGTTATTAAATATGAATATAACCATATCAAATTTTTTTTTCTTAATGATGAAAATGGTATAAGTTGAATCCAGAAGATAATATGAATAACAACAGCAATTGAACAAACGACAATCGTAGGACTAAGTTCATCAGCTGTAATTGATGACCATGTCAGAGTAGTGCAATTCATATTATTTTAACAACTATTTTCTATGAAAAATTTTATATGATGTATATAAAATTCTTCTTAGGATAAGTTATTCCGACACTATCATCTTTATTATAATGAATAGTATGAAGATTAATTGTAAAAAAAAAGGATAGAGAAGAACAAAAAAAGAAGAGAAAATACTTCTCTCATAATTCTCATCATTAGACATCATCAACATTGATGGATTCCATTGATAATAGATGAAAATTCTATTGAAATCGGCACATCTCTATCTTATTATATTTTCTATAATTAAATAGAGAATATAGAAGTCATCATTTTAATTATTTTCAAGACATTCTAAAGAATAATCATATTTTAAATACTTATGTTTGATAATATTTTTCTAGTTGTGTTTACATAATGAGGAATTTTTGAATTCCATTCAATATAAATAGTATCATGAAATTTATTTTAATTGATTCGTTTTATTTCAAATGATTGTCATGAGAATTTTTTCATTCATTATACTTCCCTTATTGATTTAGCTAATTACAATATGTAACTTTCATTCATATATACAGGGTCCGGAAATAATATTATTCAAGGGGGGCAGCATAATGCTATAGTTTCAAATAGGATCAACAATAAATTTAATATCAAATAAAAGTACATCGAAAATAGGGTTTATCAGTACTAAATAGTAAGGGTTATGACAACTTTTCAGAGTAGAATTGAGGAAATTCCAGAATTCTGTGCCATGTCGATATATAAAAAAAATTCTTCTCATCAGGCAGTTCAAATTTCATCTCATTCAAAATATTGAATATGACAAAGCACTATTTATTTTTTTAAGGTTCGGCGAATATAATCAGTAATCAGTATGGTGACTATGAGCATTCTTTACAGCACCGGGATAAGACGTATATGAACATTAAAAAGTTTCTCGTTACTCAATGTTTTTTTCCATTTTTATCAAAACATCGGAAACGTTTTTTTTCCGGGTTCTTCGTGATAACGAGTATGTTTCATCTTTGATGGCATTTTTTAAACTTCATTTTTGATTATTTGTTTCCAGGCGAAGTATCGATTACTTGTGATAATCATCATGTTGAATGAGATTAATTTGAACTTCCGTCTCATGAGAAGATTTTTTATATGGCGTAAAATTCAGAAATATCCTGAATTCAACTTTGAAAAGTTTTGATAAACCTCGTTTTCAACGCACTTTAATTTGGTATAAAATTTGTTGTTGATGCTATTTGAAATATCGACGCTACCATCTTGGAATAATATTATTTCTGACTCTGTATATATATATATATAGTTGGGTATAGGCCTAGTTTTGAAGATTCTGAGCTGATAGTCAATGAAGATTAGCGCTATAATGATTTCTTTATCTTTTTAATTCTGAAAAGCTTTGAAAAATAAGGCAAGCTGTCGTGTTTTTGCTGGAATAACTCTATAATTACTAGTAATTAAAAAAGAGGAATGTTCATAAATTGTCAAAGAATATTTATTCAATTGGACATAGAAGAACAACTGATGTCTTCTATTATTATAGAGGGGAAGGAAGAAGAGTTTCTAAATATAGGTATATAAAAATCCATGATTTTATTATTACTGTATTCAGATTAATAAGAGAAATACATTCATAATGTATTGAACTCAATTTAATTAATTGATCTTTACTTAAATGATTTTTCTACATCAAAAGGATAGAATTAGTTTGTTTACGTTTTGTTTTTCTTCGATGACGATATACAACAAAATATATCAATGATTTTATTGCAACTTATGACATCTGCATTTTTTGTTGTTGTCTCCTTTCCTTGTTTTACACGTCTATATACTCATCTAAACTGCACCTGGTTAACAAAGAACCTAACTGAACTTTTCCCGTCGCTGCGTGACAGAATCTATGTTAAAGAGTAAAGACTATTCTTAGAAAAATAATTCATCATTAGTTAAACATTGAATCATTAAAAAAAGAGTCTTTTGAAATCTAAAGGATCTTATTAATCCATTGTTCATTAGTCTTCATTAAAAAAATGTAAAATTATTAGCACAATGGCATATGCAGAAATGTCCTCTGTAATGTACTTTAACGTCCTTATTGTTCATTCATTGAAAATAAAAAATAATAAACATTAATTAGGTAAATACACGGATAAAAAGTTTACAGAATACATAAATAAATAAATCATAAAAATTATTCAAAAATTGATTCATAAAAAAAAACAATGATACATTTAATAGCAAAATATTATAAAAATTAAATTTTTAAATTTATCGTTTTATGCAGTACAACATCTTTGTTTCATACCATTACCAATAATTTGTTTTTCTTGAATTCTTATACCAACTTTAGTCATTTGTGCACTTTCACATTGATTAAGACGTCGTTTTAGTGCAAGTCTAGCTATTTCATCAAATACTTCAGTTATATTTCTATTATCTTTAACGGATATTTCGAAAAATGATAAATTATTTTGTTCAGCATATTGATGTGCATCACTAGTTGGCACAACTTTATTTACCTTATTATTACTATCATCTTTATTACCAACAAGAATTTTTGGAATACCTGTGTCACACAAATTTTGCACATCTGAAAGTCGATTTTTTACATGAGTGAAAGTTGTACTGTCTGTAACCTTCGAATTGAAAAGAAAAGCAATTATGGAACTTTATCATACAAAGAAAAAAGAAGCGACATACGTCATAAACAATAATAATCCCATCAACACCTCGATAATAACTACCTATTGATAGAAAAAGAAAATGATTAACGATATTTTATTCAATTTACATGATTTATTTATTTACTTGTAATCGAACGAAAACGTTCTTGTCCAGCAGTGTCCCTAAAAAATAAGTGATTTAGTACTATTTTATATCTTTTTAATGGATCTAATAAAGACAACACCCAAAAATGAGAAGAAAAGAAATAAAATTCTAACAAGAAATTATTGATACAGTCAACTCATACTGTTTCAAGAAGTCCTTATGTTCAATCCGGAAAAAAATTCATATTTTCTTCATAGAACTATCTTTCAAATAAGAAATGATATTAATATTCATTCCACATTTTATATTCCAATATCGCTGAGAGTTTTAAGCGAATAAACGCACCATATTTGTAATCTACATTTATATGCGCCAATGTTAATAATAGCTATTTGAAAATCTACACCAATAGTTGCGGTATATTGAGTATGAAAAATCCCATGAACATATCGAGCCATTAATGAACTTTTTCCAACACCTGAATCTCCAATAATAAGAATTTTAAATGTTTGAACAGGTTCAAGATTTGTTGTCATTTATATAAAAAAAAGACAAAATGCATTAAAGATCTTGTTTGATTTTTTCTTTTTGAATCATCTTATTTATTGTAATTTAATAATAAATAAATTATAAAACAGAGATTTGAAAAAGCGAGAAAAAAAAAGAATATAAGGCGATTTACATTGAGAAAATTAAAATGGAATGCATAGAAAATATTTATCTATTTGCAACATGTTCCACTATATTTCTTATCTTTGTTCTTTGATCCTTTTAATCGAATACCTTGAGATGATGATGTACCATTGGCTAAATCATTCTGATGTGATAGATGAGTTTTATTACGTGTTTGTAAACGTTGATGTAATGCTAAACGTGTAATAGCATAGAAAGCTTCAGTAACATTTTTATTATCTTTTGCTGATGTTTCAAAAAATGGTAAATTCATTTCATGAGCATATTGTTCAGCATCTGTAGTTAATACCGCTTTGTTTGTTGATATACTATCTATTGGTACAATATCATCTTTATTACCAATAAGTACTTTAGGTATATTTCCATCACAGTATTTATTTATTTCTTCAATCCAACGACGAATACGAGAAAATGATTCAGCATTTGTTACGTCATAAACAATTAGAACACCAGCTGCATCACGATAATACTTGAAGAAAAATAAACGACAAAAAAACAATAGATAAAAAAAAAATCTTTAATATTTTTTTACTGTTGTGGTTATCACACGAAATCGTTCTTGTCCAGCAGTATCCCTAGAATATTTAAAGGAAAAAGTTTCGAAAAGTCCATATTTTTATTTCATAGAAACGAAAAATGTTTGACAAATTCATACTTAAGTATTATTTATAGATTTAGAATACACTAGTGATTGATTTATGTTTCTAGCGAGAAATCTTAAGATTAATAGAAATAGATACTAGAAAAGCTCGCCAAGTGATAAATTGCTTTTCATGAGTCTTACTTCATTCAACAAGTTCTATTGAGACTTGAGAAAGTAGGAAAAGGGTTTCTTCACATGGATTTTGTGGGACTCATATTATGTTTTTCGAAGAAAAATACAATCAGTCTAAGTTTTTAAGTTGAACTTTTGCGGCTTTCCCGTCCCCCCTCCCCTCATTCATGACTTCCTCGAAATTTGAATGATTGAAATACGTTTGTCAATATCCTACATAATGTAGTTTTTAATTTTTCCGCAGATAAAAATCTATGTTTAAGATATCAAGGATAATAGATAATAATGTACGGATTTGCTACAGCAGTCATAGGATCAGTATCAGTGCTTGTAAGCTTGTCGAGATATATACTAGTGAGTTGAGACTTGCCGTAGATAAAATAGATATGTACAACGGATTTATGTGCGGATTAAATTAAGAAAAACAGAATACGAAAATGAAAAATAAAAAGTGAATAGCATACAAAAAGATTGTGTTTAAAATGCTGAAATAAATGAGACAGGCCGTTTCTTTGGTCATTGATTATCCTGAAAAACCAATTATAGTATACTAGAGATTTTTATTAGTTTACTTATAATTTTCAGTTCAAAATATGCACATCTCTCACAAATAGAAAATACTAGAAAAATCTGCGACTTTTTTTCAGTCTTCCCTAGTTCCAGTAATAGTGGTGTAACCAGACGAAAGTCAGAGGGGGGGGGGGGGGCTTACTTCTCCTCTCCTAGCCCTACGACTTTTTTCTAGCTACGTCACTACTCAATACGACCATTTCATATAAACTAGGATTCATCTGAAAAGTAGTTTAACTATTCTAAATAGCCGAAAGGTGTTCATTTAAAAAAAAATTAAATTATTTATTTAAATAACATAAACATTCTAAATAAGTTTTGGTGTTTTTTCTCTGAACTAAATAAATGACTAACCAAATCTGAACTTGACATGGATATTCATCAATCATTAATGTTCGAACTTTAAAATCAACACCAATTGTTGATACAAATGCTGATTGAAATGTATCATCAACAAAACGAGTCATCAAACTGCTCTAAAACAAAATTAAAATAATTTTATGAAAACAAGACAAGTAATTTTTAAATTTAAACCTTTCCAACACTTGATTCACCTATAATAAGAATTTTGAACGAAAATATTTCATTTGATATGGCCATTTTATTAATTGAAATGATAATTTCTTAACCTATTTACATAAAAATCTTAAGAAAATAGGCTACTTAATGATAATAATAATAATATTTATCCATCAATGAATCATTTCAATCATGAAACATGATTTAGTCATCGCTAACGGCGCCCTCTATATTTCAAAAATTCGAAAATAAAAATTTCATTTTTTTAAAATTAATTTTGAATTTAAAATTGCAAAGAAATTTAACATATTCAATTATTCGATAAATGATTATTTAATATACTTAAAAGTTAATTAAATAAAATTTCTATTTCCTTTAAAACGATAGTTATGAATAGAGAGTATTATGATAATAATTGCAAGCCCTTCAAACCGTTGGATTTCGCTTTAAAAAAGGGACTTGACACAGTATAATGAGTCACGAGAGAGTAGTTTCCACGCCCTGATGAACTCTCTTTGTGATTTTTTCTGAGCAGCGATGAAAAAAAACAGAAGTTAATACTAGGTCAAAAGGACTTCTAAACCCGGGTCTCGACCGCGCTACTGCTCTCTCCGTTCCGTCGTCATCCTCTCGAGGCGTTTCTCGATACACCATATTCCGATATTCGCTTTTGTTATGCCAGTACGTCATTAATTAAACACTAGCAGTGGACGAAAATGTTGCTTTGAAATGTTCGTAATCTTGCTGTCACTGAAAAAATGAATCCAGTGAGAAAATGAGAAAAATCGGCGGCCATTTTACAATAAGGATTGAAAGAATATTAATTAGATAAAATAGGTTTATAAAACGCCAATGAAGATCTGTCACGAATTGCTCTATAGTCTATTATTGTGTTTGATATTTGAAACACTGTACTAAGTGTAGATTGTTTCTAATTCTATAAAGAAACTCTTCGACATGCGACAGGACTTTAGTTACGAAATAATAGCTTGTTCAACCTTTCTTCATGTACATAAATATATCAATATTACCAATAGTGTCCGATTTATGTGACTATTATATGGATAGCTGTTTAAAAATTGCCATGGTCCTCTGCTTTTAGACATTTATTTGAAAGCAGTAAACGTTTTCTAATGAACGACAAGTATTGAACTATTGTGAAAAGCTTTTCTGATTACAAGCAACGATAAAAGTTCATCTAAACTGTACTCAAAGAAAACAATCTTGTTTATTAACTCTCGCTATATGATTCTATTTATTCAGTTTGTCATTCATATAATAGATATTAGTAATATGCTTCTTAACTTGCATTTTCACGCGATAAGATGATAAATGATAACGACAATCAACTTTCCGATCGCTGACGAAAAACGCTCTAAGGCAAAGAGTTTACTTTTCCGATTCACTGCTAACGCATTCTTATAGATATAATAAATATTGGAGTACTCTGTTTGCATACGACGAGAAAATGTCTTAGGCAGTACAAGATAGTAGAAATATAGACAAAATCGCCTATCGTAGTTATGAATAGATAGAATTGCTTGTCTGCTTTTGATTCTATTCAATGTTGCAAAAATTCTCGTCTACAACACTAAATATTCAACGGAAACGGCAAGTATAATCATAGACATATGACTAGTCACAAACTAGTGACTAATATAACCTGTATCACTATATAGTGATGATTCTTCTATTGTTAATAGTGGCATGATCAAGAGTAGGTTAGACTGTGTGTCGCTCTACCATCAGAAAAATAGAAAAACGTAATAATTACCATTATTCACATCGTATTTCATGAATTGCTCACTAAGATCGTACGAGTACTTCCCTGTCACCCACGATTTCCTACTTACGTCATTAATCGCTAACGAATATTGAAGAATTTTATTTTTCTAATTATCATTATTCAAATCATCTAGGACTGTCATTTTCATTTTTTTTACACCATACTTCAACGCTTTATTTCTATCATTACTTCAATTTCTCTCATGTACACGTATGTTGTTTGAAAAAATATAATCGAATTTCAGTAAATCTATATGTAAACAAAACTAAAAGTTTATTTAATTTTTTTTCCAGAAGTTTCTATTTTTTCCACTGAGTAACTATGTGTACAAGTGAAGGAGTAAAGTATTCTTTCGTTATGTGAGATCATACTTCTATTATTTCTAATTATTTTCTATTCAACAGTTTTCATTCATATATTTGAATAAGACGATGATGTTTCTTTGTTGAGTTTTTTTTTTTTCTATACGAAAGATGATCATTTTTAACTCGATCATTATTTTTCTGCTCGAAAAAAGATTATTTGTATTACCGGCCAAAAAGTTATTCAACCCTATGTTTTCTAGTTTCCTTTTAGTCGTGTACTCGACCTTCTAATTAATTAAAAAAATTCACCACTTGCTCGTCACAAGCAAACTTCCTTCTATCTTTGGAACACATCAGATTATCAAGGTAACCTATTGCATATAGAACAAAATATTAAAAAGCAAATATTCATCATACCCATGAGTTAGGATGCATTTTGGTTTTTGATCCAATACAGTTAGAATAGGGTGTTTTTTTTTTTCAAATTTATAAATCCATTCAATGAAGGTAACGATATATTTTCACTTTTACTGTTAAGATCAGCACTGTAAAATTAAAACAAGTATTCCAATTTTGTCTAAGCAAATTGAGCTGAGCTGTAGTTTTGACATATTATAAGCCTCTTTTTTCTCTCTAATTAACATTATGTCTTTCATATATGCAGATGGAATAAAAACATTTAGTAAACAATAATACGTATCATCATTAGAAATCCATTTAAATAAACATGATAATTCGAAAAGTATTACGTAATTATTTACTAAATAGAATAAAAATTTGTTTTTATCTTCTGAAAATCTAGTTTATATTGATTTGAATAATTTTTCTAAATAGAATTCATAATGTCAAATAAGTCATGATGACCAAGAAATTTTTTTTTATTCTGTGTAATGATCCATCAATTAATAGTCATGAATTATATTGGGTACAAACTATTAGAAAAGATTAAAAACTTGAATCATTCATATGTGAATTTGTCATTTTAACAAAAAAAAGCTATTAACACAATCCCTACAGAATTAAAATATGAAACACGATGTAGGTGTTGCTACTATTCATAGGAATATTGTTTTATTCTATCTATTTTGGAATACATTTCTTCTTCGTTCTTTTACTTAATACCTCAGAAACTCAGTAAGGAAATAGTTCATATTTTATAACAAGATTTTATTAATATATGATGCTTGATCATATATCAACAACGTCTGTAATGACTTATGAAGGATGCAACTTTCTACTCTATATACTTCAAAACTCTTTTTAGATCGTTTTTCATAAATTCAAAATGGTCTATATTTAATCATGATTAAAAAAGGGTTTGTCTTAATACAGAATGTTATTTTGTTTTAAATAATTAACGACAATCTAAAAGGAGGATTGAAGTATACGAATAAAACTTGGGATTCACAGATCGTGATATATGTTGTTGATATACGATTAAAGATCGTATATAAATAATGTATTGTTCTCATATATGAACTACTTACTTATTCAATTTCTAGTGAATTCAGAAAAAGAATGGTGAAGAAATATATCCCAAAATACATAGAATCAAAAACAATCTTCATATAATTAGCTAGACCATGTTTCACATTTTAGTCTCATAGGAATTGTTCTAATAATGTCTTTTTGTAGCGAAATAATTTGCCTAGGGTCTCATTTTTTCATTAGATAATCATATGTTTGTTATATTAAAAAAAATTTAAAAGAAAAAGTTGCAGTTTTAAGTAGAAAGATTTATTGAAAATAGTGTAATTTAATTGTATAAACAAATTCAAATCATTGTTTATTTTTAGTAGAAAAAAATTTGGTGTTATTTAAGTGCAAGAACAAAACTGGAAAAAAAAGGGCTTTTATTTTTATTTCGTAATTTCTATATAGTAATGATTCATTTATTTTTGCATGATTGATTCCATCATGATATCATAGGGTAAATGAGTTAAAATATGTATGTCATCATTGCAAAATAAATGTGACTTTTAGTTATCTTGAATCGAGTCATAGTAATTGCAGTACACATCTACTACAATAAATCAAAACAATATCTATTAATACAATATAATACCGGATGTGATAAAAGTTCTGCGATATATTATCTTTTAGAAATATTTAAGTTTATCCTAATCTTCCTTTCAGAACATGCAACATTTGATCCTCAACAATATTCTATTGATCTTAATCTAAAGTAGTAGGAAAACAAATTTTTTATATAGTCTGTGTTTTGTGATTTAGTCCATAGAATTTACCTCCCACGCATTATTTATTATCATCTCTTCTTTCCATGGAAACAAATATTTATTTTAAAAACTAAATCTTGTATTACGCAGCGTTTGAAAAGCTCTTGTTATAGAACTTTGTGAATAATTATTTTATAAAGCTTGGCAAAAGAATTTAGCTAAAAGTAGACCGTTTTTTATTTTAGAAACTTATATAAATTATTTTACTCCCGATAAATATAGACTGTGATCGAGCACTTATAAACCCTACTGACAAAACTTTTACAGTAGAAACTCGAGTTCTTTTATGTATCAAGTTTCTTACACATCCCTTTATAACTTCTGAAGAACGTTTCAAATAGAGTAGAAAGACTATAATCGTAATTCTTATGGGAGTACAATATGAAACATAATGTAGTTATTGTTGCTAATTACACAGATATTATTTTATTCAATCTATTATATGATATATTTCTTCGTCATGATTTTACTTAATCTTCCAAAAATGCGATAAGAAAATAATTCATATATTATAATGTGACGTTATTAATAAACAGTCGGTAATTATATATCAACTTGTGTCACAAGATTGGAAGGAAGATCCAAATTCTTACTACTATTCCTCAACATTCCTTTTAGATCGTGTTTCACAAAATATATGACAAGTACCTTTCATGCACTGTATCGCAAAAACACTTTCTATAACAGGTTTCTTTTGTCTTGTTGTATATGAAGATTAATAGAATTTTGATGATAGTTAAAAATTGTATCTTC